AAGGCATGTACATGGATTGCAGATTTGATCTCTGGCACAGGTGGAAGGCAAGGAATCAATGTGTCTCTCTCACACTGATGTTTCTCTCTCACATTGATGTTTCTGTCTCCCCCAATTCCCTCCCATCCACTCTCTCTAAAAAAAAAAAAAATCAATGGAAAAAATATCCTTGGGTAAAGATTAACAAAAAAAAAAGAGTGTCATTTCAGCATGAGAAGGTATGGAATGAATCATTAGTTTAAAACAAAAACAAGCAAAAAAATCAAGTCACACGAGACTCAGGGTACCTATTCAACCAGGAGCACAGCAGGTGAGCAATGGTAACTGGCCCACCACGTCCAGTTAAGCAGGTCATGCAGAGGCCATGTAAATGGCATTTCCTGAGGTTGTGCAGTGCACAACCTGTTCAGCTGTACTCAGGGACACTCAGTTTCCTACAGGGTGTACCTAGCTTTCGGGGGCTCTTGCTTAGTAAAAGAGAACTCATTTATGGTGAGACAGGGCCAAAGACAAGAAATCAAGTCTCTCAGCAGACTGGAATCAGTCATATGGCTCACTCTCTTGAAATAATACAGGAGAGATACACGTAGGTATAAGGCAAAGAAAAATAGGGAGGCCAGACAGGAGCCCAGATAACAGGTAAGTGATGGGAGTGTCCAGATGAGTATGATTCTGAATGTAATTTCTGTGTAAGAATTCTCATAGCTTCTTGGAATGTATACCTGAAACTAGTAAAAATGTTGTAATAAAGAAAAAAAGAATTCTTACAGCTTCTTTAAGAATTGAATTAAGATACAGTGTATGTCAGAAACAAAAAGAATACAAAGAAATGAGGTATGGGTGAATCATACTTGAGCCCTGCCTAGATTTCAGAAAATGTGAAACTAAATCCACTCCAAGTAATTCAAGTTTATGAAAATTCTGCAACTTGACATAGACAGGGGTTTAATTTTGGTTGAAAAATTTTCTAGATTTATCATGGGAAAAAAATCAGTCTGAAGTATTGTAAGTGACCATATTGCTAAGTCTGAATAACTCAAAGTCTACACAGCTTGTTACTTATTAGCACACACATTTAATAACAACAACTTACATGGTTTTAAAATTTTTTATATTCTGGTTATGCTAACTTCCAGGTTTAAGGAATTCTAGTATTGCTTATTTTCAAATCAAAATATGTTCAAGGAAGGTAGAGAAGGAAGAGGAAGAAGTGACTAATTATTGGGGTTTAGAACCATGAAATAAAGCAAAGTCCCGCAAAGAACCCAGGTTGATTATTAATTTAGTATTCCTTCCATTCTAATGCACTGACGAAGGTTTCTGAATCCTACAGCATATCTTAGAAACCATCCAGATTAAAGCATTCATCTTAGGATAGCAAAAACAGTCCAAACTCACAGAGTTACTGGCAGGAAAACCAGAATGAGTGGGCATCCTGACCATGGGTACTCTCTAGGCATAACTATATTCTTCAGGCACACACGGTCACTGTGCGAACATATAAAGGCCCATTTAAAGAAAGTAGCTTATTAGAAAATGGGTACAGATTCAGTACTTACAGAACACTGTGGTGGGGAGAATAAATACTTCTGTCTTTAAAAAGTAAAAAAAAAAATTCACTTAGAAAAATTAATTACATATGAGGTGCTTAACATCATTAATTATCAGGGAACTACAAATTAAAACCACAATAACAATATCACTACACACCCACTAAAATTCAAAGGACTCAGATTACCAAGTGTTGGCAAGGATACAGAGAAACCATAAATTGTACATTTTGGAAAACTGCTGGCACTATTTACTAGAGTAAAAACACATGCAACAAATCATCAAACAATAAGTGTTGGCAAGGGTGTGGAGAAAGGGGACTTCCCATTGCTGATGGGAATGCAGACTGGTGCAGCCACTATGGAAAACACTGTGGTGTTACCTCAAAAAAATTAAAAATTGAACTGCCATTTGACTCAGTGATCCCACTTCTAGGAATATACCCTAAGAAGCCTGAAACACCAATCAGAAAGAATATATGTACCCCCATGTTCATAGCAGCACTATTTACAATAGCTAAGATCTGGAAACAGCCCAAGTGTCCATCAGTAGAAGAATGGATAAAAAAGCTGTGGTACATATACACAATGGAGTACTAAGCAGCTGTAAGAAAGAAAGATCTCTTATCCTTTGAGACGACATGGAGGGACCTGGAAAGTATTATCCTAAGTGAAACAAGCCAAGCAGAGAAAGACAAATATCACATGATCTCACTTATTTGTGGAATATAATGAACATAACAGTCTGAGGAATAGGGTAGACCCAGAGACGTGGAAGTAGGGTACGGACTGAAAACCCTCAGAAGAGGGTGTGGGGGAGGGAGAGAAGAGATGAACCACAGAACTTATAAGCATGTACACATAACCTATGGACATGGACAACAAAGCTGGGGACAGGGTGAGGGGATGGGGAGGAGGGTGTCAATGGGGAAAAGGAGAAACATCTGTAACAAAAATAAATTAATAATTAAAAAAAACACACACATGTATCCTATAACCTAGCAATTCTAATTCCTGAGTATATGTTCCAACAGAAATGAGTGCTATGTCCAACAAAAGATATAACAATGTTCATAGCAGATTTATTCATGTTGACCCCAAACTGAAACAACTTAAATGACCATAAACAGTAAAAAAGGAAATAAATTGTGGTACATTCATATCATGGAATACTATTCAACAAGGAAAACGAATGGACTTCTGCTATATAAAACATGGATGAATCTCACAGAAATAATGTTGAGCCAAAGAAGCCAGACATGAAAGAGTACATTGTATTATGATTCTATTTCTAAGAACAGACAAAGTAATTTATGGTACTAGAGGTCACATAATGTTACCTTGGGGAGGGGAAGGCATTTACTGGGAAGAGACAAAGGGAGCCTCCTATGAGGTTGGAAGTGTTCCATATCTTGATCTCAGTGGTGGGTACATGGTTGTATACATGTAAAAAATTTGTCAAATTGTACTTACAATTTTGTGGACTTTGCTATATATGTAAACTACAGCCCATCTCCTAGGTATCTTTTGCTCCACTTTCTTTTCATGAGATTCATCCATGTCGTTTCTGGTCACAGAACTTGGTTCTTTTTCATTGCTGTCTAGTATGGTATTGTATGAATGTACCACAATTTTCCTATTGTTGTGGAGCACCTAAAAAAGTTGTAAAAATTAATTTTTTAGATCCCAAATGAACATTTTCTCTGCTCACTGGGTGACTATTTACTAAAATACTAAGAAATAAACTCCATTTGCAACATGAGCCATCTCCTACTTTAAGCATGAACAAATTGCCAGGTCAACATTTATTTGTTGCCAACCAAGACGAGTATGCTAAACTCAGTGACAGAGCAACAGAAACGGAAGTCTTTCTCAAAAAGAGTACCTCAGATCATAATGTTTGCTTAAGATGACCCTTTGTGAATCAATAAAATATTGTATGTAGAGGATTGGTCTATGATGAATGAACTTACATTATGTCATAGAACTTTTGTGAATGGGAAAGAGAATGAGAACCAATCCAGGTGGAATGGAGGAATCTTGTATAATCTGATGGACACTAGGTAACTTTAAAACTAATTTCAAACTCAATCTCTATGTGTGCCAATGTTATTAATTACCTGGCAGTATGCGAAGCCCTTTCTGTGTTTTTTCTTTCTTTATCCTCCCAATAACGCTATGTGGGACGGGACTATTATCTCTGTTTCACAGATGAGGCAACTAAAGTCTCTGCCTAAATAAAGGTCACAAATATTTCCTTCTCCGTCTTCTCCTGGAAGTTATAAAAATTTCAGGATTCTCTATTTACATCTATGACGCATTTGAGATTCATTTTTATTTATGGTGTGAGGGATGGATCCATGTAATGAGAATAGATTGAATCAGTCATTAAGAGTCCAGAGCCCTGACTGGTGTGGCTCAGTGGTTACAGCATCAGCCAGGGACCAAAGGGTTGTAGGTTCAATTCCTGGTCAAGAGCACAGTACCTAGGTTGCAGGTTCAATCTCTGGGCCCTGAGCCCAGCGCATGCAGGAGGCAACCAGTCTATGTGTCTCTCCTACATTGATGTTTCTCTCTCTCTCTCCCTCTCCCTCCCTTCCATTCTCTCTAAAAATAAATCAATGGAAAAAATATCCTCAGTGAGGATTAACAAACAAACAAAAAAAGAGTTTACAGAGTAAGTGTAAAGGGTGGATGGAACCCAGAAAAAAAACAAAGTCAAGAGTTTAGGGGGCAGATCTGAGGAATAATGACACAGACACTTGCCTAGAAAGCACCATGAGAATTCTGAATAATCAACACTACGCGCTCAGATAAGCAAACTGGACTGGTCTTGGGTGCGGACACCAGTGACCTCACGAAGGGTATTTATAGTACACACGAAGGTTCCGACCTCGGAGCTACATCTAAGCATCAGCCTACAGGAACTACCAGTGGAAGCACCTGGGGCAGCCTGAAGTCCCCTCTCGGGCGCAGGGGGCGTGGGCAGCCCGGGGCACCTAGGATGGCCCAGGCAGTCCCAGTCCCGTCCCACCCCTTGGGGACTCCGAAGCAGGTCCCGGGAAATCGCTGCCCCACCAGGGAGGCGGGCGGCTGGACGATGGAACAAAACGGCGGGAAAGGAACTGTGCACTCCGGCAACCTCGGGGCAAAGCTGGGCGGTCCCTCCCACCCGCCACCCCGTCGCGGGTCAGGAGGAGCAAGGCTCCCTCAGGCACCGGTCCTACCATGGGAACCCCGAAGCCATTCTGGGGCTCTGAACGGAATAACCTCCGCGCCCCAGCCGCCAGGAGGCCACCTCCTGAACAGCCGGGACCTGCCCTGCCCATCTGACCTCCTGACCCCCTCACAGCACGAGCACAGAAGCCCGCGTTACCTGTCGTAAAGTGCCGTAAAGTCGCCGGCGTTTTGCGGCAGTGCGGGCGAAGCTGGCAGCCGGATCCTCGCTGGCGCTCCCTCTCCCCTTCGCTGCTGCCCCTGCGGAAAGGCTGCGGGTGGAAATTGGGAGAGATCGGCAACCCGACGCCGGTTCTTTCCCCGGGGATTGTCTGCTGCTAGGTTTGTGTAACAATGGAAAAAGCGGGATAGGGCTGCTTAAGAACAGTTATTGGGATCCTTGGTTTGGAGGCGGGAAGTCAGGTCCAACAACTCACTCCTTGTGACCTGCGGTTCCTCCTGGTGCTATTTTGGTTTTCACCTTGGTGTTCATCACTAGACTTCGGGTATCCTCGGAGTAGCTGGCACCTGTCTTTCTTGTTAGTTTGCCCTGCAGCCTCCTTGCCCCTGGACTTTGAAATGCTTTACCTTATCGGCTTGGGCCTGGGAGATGCCAAGGACATCACAGTCAAGGGCCTGGAAGTCGTGAGACGCTGCAGCCGGGTGTACCTGGAAGCCTATACCTCGGTCCTGACTGTAGGGAAGGAAGCCCTGGTAGGTGCCTGAGGGACCCCAGCCCCGGGGAAGAAAGCTTGTCCAGCGCCTGGTTGCTATTACATTAAGTGGAACCGAGTTTGCAGGTCTGCTTGTCAGACCCTTTCAAACACATCCGTGGCTCCTTTGGATTTGGGGAGAACAAGAATGAAAATCGTACACCAACCAGCCAAGCGATGTGGAAAATGAAAGGGTGCTTTGTCTTACTTTACAAGTCAGATTTTCTGGCTTTCTCCAGTAAATCAGGAAAGGAAAGTTGTTTCACACTCCTGGCGGTAGTTATCAAAATCCCTCATTTCATGAGATAGCCAAGAAATTGTGAGTTGAGTGCTAATGAGGGGCTGACACTGCCTTAATGAGTTGATTATATATTCAGAAACCAAGCTGAAACCTTCCCCCTTTGAAGTATTTCCACAGGGAATGGTAATTGCCTTTCTGTCTGTTTCTATCCAGAGAGGTCTTACATTTCATGGACATCACCCAGTAGAGCTTATACCCAAACACCTGTATGTATTGAGTGATCCTGGGACATAGTAACTATACCATTGGTTGATGTATCATATGTTATAGCTGGCTGTCATTAAGGGCTCAATAAATTTGGAAAGAGGGATTAAGTTCAGGTTCATGGTCAAACTCCAGGTACCCATTTGATTATATTGAGGTGTTTGTGGTTGTTTTCTCTTTGAAGGAGATTTTTAAAATAAACATTCTGGTTCAATTAGATAATGAAATGTTTTATAGGTTAGGATATGTGATAAATATGGAGTGATGTGTGATAGAAGTCTTGCAGAGAGTGGGGTTTTCTGTTCTTAAATCACTTAGAAAATACTGGATAGGATTACTGTGAGCTTTAAGCTAGTAGCATGTGACTTCTTGATCTTTAAGAAATGTTAAAAGTTCAGAAAACAACATTGTTTCCTTCATTTTTCAGTAATCATTTGTGTTCTCTCATATATGTGAATATAAATGTTCTGCAACTATTAAGTTTTCTGGGTTTGTAAAATTAAAGTGAGGTATATAAGAATTAGTGATTAAGAAACTATATGGTAAAGGTGAAAATGAAGAGAACATTTTTCTTTTATAAAACCATCCTTGTCATTGGGAACTGCTGGAACATTATCTCTAAGAATTGCAGAGGAAAGGATTTTTTCTTTTTATGTTTGAGAAACAGATTCTAGTTAAGTATTAGGAAATAATTATCATTCACACTTGGAGCAATAGCCTTTATCTCAAATGCTTGTCCATCTAAGTCATTTGCTCGTCAAGTCATTGAGTACCAGGTACTCTTCCATTACAGCAACCCTCATAATGTTGGACTTACCATGTAATCCTTGTAACATAAATGTTATGATCAGCAGACTTCTTGGTATATAAGAAATAGTGTTACTTAGCTGTGCATCCATTTTGACTGTATTTGAATTAAATATCACTGCACAGGAAATCAGTTATAAGACTCATGATCTTGGGTAGTAGCTGTAACCACTGGTGCCTGACCACCAACACATCAGGTCCTCTCCTCACCTGCACGCTGCCCTCCAGTGAAGGGTCAGCTCCTGGGTTTGTTCTCCAGAGTTGACTTCAGGGGATTGGGTCACAGAGCACTTTGTATGGAAGTTTCCTATATGTTTAGAATTCCTTTTCCCCCTGCAAGTCTTCCTTTTTTAAACAGGAACTAAGAAATACAGTTTTAAATTAGTCTTTCCTAAATAAGATAGGAATGTTTGCTGCTTCTGTAAACAACTAAATCATAATTTTCTCTCACTTCTCATTGATGTTACCTTTTATTTTAGCCGGGGTCCCATAGATATTCCCATGGAAAGTTTAATAAAACCCAAACTATCATGTACGTTTATAATCATCATTCAATATGGTTATTCTGTATCACTATGTTTTTGAAGGAAGGCTCATGCATACATACATATTCTCTGTTCTACGGTGTTCTGCCTAATGTATTAGATGCAAATTTAGAGGTAAATTAAAAAATACAAAAAGCCTCAGATGTTAGGAGGTCTGCCTCCCCTTGGGATATTAAGATAACCCCAAAGACAGAGTTTAATTGCGACATGATGTAGACTGCTAGTTGATGAGTTGTAGTCAATGGTCTGTGTTTGGATAATTGCCAAAATCCACACCAGCCCCAGACAAAGGTGTGTGTGTGTGTGTGTAAATGGTCACCTGCTGTCTCACTTTGATATTGGACTTACATCTATAGGAAGAGTTCTATGGAAGGAACTTGATTCTTGCTGATAGAGAGGAAGTGGAACAAAAAGCAGATCATATTTTAAAGGACGCTGATGTCAGTGATGTTGCTTTCCTTGTGGTCGGTGATCCATTTGGGTAAGTCAAAGCAGGTATTTGCGTTTTAATTGTATTTACCTCTTTTTTTTTAATCCATGAGAATCATTCTGTTACATTTAAAACCTTTTACCTACCAGGTTTTGATGAGGGACTCTGCTTACATAGGTTCTATCTAAAATTTTGTAGTTTAAGATTTCATTATCTTTGATATTAATGAGGAGGAGCTGCTTGACTAGGATGTGATCATATGCATCACCTCTGTTGTTTATCAGGTGTTGACTCAAGTCTATATCACTGATTTTGCTGTTCTTTTAGAAGGTCAGTTAGGGCATCCAATGACTTAACTAGTATATCACTATTAAATATGCATATTTTGAGTCCTGCCTGCCATTTGTTTTGCAGGTAAATTGCAAGCATCTTTTGCTTCCTTTGTCTAGGCATTTTTTTCTTTTCTAATCATCTCATATTTAGCAATATTGCTATCACTTTACTTGCCTTGAAGTTATCATCTATCAAGCCTCAGATTTCAATTTCTCATATCCACTGGGAGCCCTGCACCTTCCCATTACTAAGAAGATGGGCTTTCGCTTGTCTGTCAGGTATCATCAATCTCTGATGTCAAGCCAAACAGAAGAGTTCTCTGTCTCCAGCTGGTGACCCAAGATTTATGTCACAGATTTAAAAAACAGTAGGGCAATTAAACCACTGTGAGCCCACCACCAAAGATGTTTTTCAAAAGAGTAGAGTTACGTGTGCATGTGTCTGTCAGAGGAAAGTAATTTACATCTGTATGCTGTGCCAGGGATTCTGTGTCATCATTATGCTTGGTTGCAAATGATATTGGGTAATCATACATTTAAAAATATTTAAATAGTTTATTTAACCTCTGACACTATTTCCTATAAAAGTAAGTCTTCCTCCAAAGGAAGTATCCGTCTTTTCTCTTTTTTTGCCACAAAATAGTAAAATAAAATTAAAGTTATTAAAAATCCTATATGTATAATGTCTTGGAACTCTCATAGGATTTTCTCATCATAGTGGCTTCTGCCAAAATCCCATGTTTTCTGTATGACACCTGAACTCGCCCACCTTCCTGACTTGACGGTACTACAATGCTTATAGGCCCCTGAAAATGTAATCTCAGAGTCCCCTGACGTCTACAGCGTCCAGCCTGGACCAAGCCCAGTGACCAGTGCTGCCCAAGGGGAGGTTTGCAGACTGGCTGGTGCCAGCCCACCGACCACTGGTTGATGATGAGATAACTACAGAAATTGGGAGGGAGCAGTTAGAAACTTTATAGCATTTTTTAAAGGAATTTATCTCCACTGAATATAATAATAAAATTGTGGAGCTTGTATTTTGTGTTACTTTATTTGCATTTTACATAACTATGGTCACATTGAAATTTAGAATTTAAGAAAATAATGGCCTTTCACCAGTTTGAGAAGCACTGCTGTTTATTTTCTACTTTTTTTTTTTTTAGAGAGAGGGAGAAACATCAATTTGTTGTTCCACTTATTTATACATGTATTGATTACTTCTTGTATGTGCCCTGACCAGGGTTTGAACCCACAACCTTGGTGTATCGAGATGATGCTCTAACCCACTGAGTACCTGGCCGAGGGCATGTTGACTTTTGTTTTACCAAGATTTTCATATTTATTCTTTCCTCTCCATTCTGGCTGCACTATTCTACTTGACCCAAGCTCTTATGATCATACACCCAGTTTAATATAGCAGCCTTTGTCTGGTTCAGACTTCATTCATTACCTGTGCTGTGGTCAAATTCATATTTGTAAAACCACAATTTGAACACTCTTATTCTATCACTGGCCAGACATGACAAATCCTATCCAACCTGCCCTTCTATCTACAACACACCTGTCCTGTTCTTTATTTTATTGATGACATTGATCAACACATTCTTGAATCTCCTCTTAAAATTGCCTTCTTAGCAATTTCAAGTAATAAGCATATTAAGATAAACTTATTACTATTTTTGGGCATGTGGCTATATCCACAAGTGTGTGTGTGTGTGTGTGTGTGTGTATCCGTCTATATGACTGTGATAGAGCCACATGCCCAGAAATAGTAATATTGTTCTTTACACACACACACACACACACACACACACACTTTTCCAGTCACCATAAATGAAGCATTTTCCCAAGCCCCGGATTGGACGGAGTGCTTAGTATACTGGTTTAAGCCAGTGTTTCAAACCAGTTCTGTCGTTTTCATGAAAGCAATATAATCTAGGCAATTGTGATGATAAAAATACTAATTTTGTCACAAATTTTTATAGCAGAAATCTGAGGGGCTTATTTAATCACATTTATGTCAGTTTCACCAAGTCAAAGTACTTTGCCAGGTCATTAAACCTTCATAGGGTACACCAAACACATGGTCATTTTAAATGAACTCATAATAAAGAGAGAGACAGTTTTAAGCCAGATTTTCTTTTTGCTCATTTATTTAATTTACTCACTAAGTAAATCTGTTTTCCTTAATCTTATTGTTAAGTAGTGAAATTCTGTTGGCGGTGATATTAAAAACATTTTCTACAACTGACATATTATTTTTTAAAAGCCTACTCTAAATCAAATTAATGATTGTTTTACATACTAGTTGTTATTTTATGCATATGATTAAAAACAGGCTTCCTTGGTGGGCATTTGTTCATCTGTCTGTGCCGGCCTCATGGGGTGCAAGCCCTTGATCTTCCTACTTGGTATGCACTGTGCAGAGCTTCTCAAACATGCTAATGCTGCTGCCTCGGCAGGCTTGGCAGTCTCATCCGGGGAAATGGCCTCTTTGCTAGTGCGGTTCTGAATTGATGTGGTGGCACATTTCAGTGTCTGTGTTTATACTTATGTACAGGAGTGAGCAAAAGTAGGTGTACAGTTTGAGTACGCGAAACACAACTGTAAACCTACTTTTGCTCACCCTTGTATATTCTCTCCACCACCATCTATCTAATTATAATCATTAGACTGAGCTCAAAAAAGAAAAGGCAAAAATGGAATATGCACACACATACTGATTACACATAGGAAGATAGTCATAAATACCACGACTGCTAGACAGGTGTGAAATCCAGCCAGGATTCTATCAGCTAGAGCTCTAATTACAAAGACAGATCAGCCCAGCCGGTGTGGCTCAGCCAAGGCTCTCGAAGTGTTACAGGTGCAAGTCAATATTGCGAAGGGATGTGTAGACTGACACTTTTCCTGCCGAAAGCTCAGAAATTGAGGAAAAGCAGGGCCCTTGACCCTTTGATTGACTTGAACTCATGAAATATTATGGCTTTACTGTCATAAAAAGTTACTTGAATCTTCTTCTCACTCCAGGGCTACGACACACAGTGATCTGATACTGAGAGCCACAAAGCTGGGGATCCCTTACCACGTCATCCACAATGCCTCCATAATGAGTGCCGTGGGCTGCTGCGGTTTACAGGTAATCCTACAAAGGAGGTGGTTTCTAATATTTAGCAAATGTTGTCGTTTTCTAGAAATTGCAAGTAGATTTTATTATATTTTATTAACTATAAGACATCATTATTTTATACTACAGTTGTTTGTACTAAATTTTTTTTTTTTTTATCCTTACCCGAGGACATTTTTCCATTTTTTGCACAGATAGAGTAGGATGGAGAGAGAGGAAGAGAGAGAGAGAGAAACATCGACGTGAAAGGGACACATCGAGTGGCTGCCACCTGCACGACCAACTAGGTCCGGGGACAAACTGCAACCAAGGTACATGCCCTTAGCGGGTCTCTCCGGACCGCAGGCCGATGCTCTAACCGCTGAGCCAAACCAGCCAGGGCTGTACTAAATTTTTTTAAGACTAAAAGTTTTTATACTGGTTTTCTATAACTTAGATTTCCCCAACCCCCAATGGAATAGACCATTGAAATTAACTAGAGAGAGATCTTTATCTTATATTAATTTGTGTGTACATAAAAAGTAAATATGCCCTGGCCGGTTTAGTTTAGCGGTTGGAGCGTCAGCCTGTGGACCAATGAGTTGTGGGTTTGATTTTGGTCAAGGGCACGTACCTCGGTTGCGGTTTATTCCTGGCCCTGGTTTGGGTCATGCAGGAGGCAGCCACTTAATGTGTCCTCATGTCGATGTTTCTCTCTCTCTCTCTCTTCTTCTCTCTTCCTCCCCCTCTATCTGAACAAAAATGGAAAAATATCCTCAGGTGAGGATTAAAAAATAATAATAAATAAAGAGTAAACATATTCTAATTTAATTGGTTCAGTGCTCCATAAGCCTTTTCACATCTTCCTGAAGTGACTCACTGTGCTTTGCTGAGTCCGTGTTTTCCACACAGGGCTATTTCTGCTCCCTCTGGGTCCTGTGGCACAGCACTTCTTAGAAGAATCTACAAGCGAGTCAAAAGGTAGTGGTAGTTGCATTTAAGACAACTTTGTAGTTATCGATGTGTAAAAGTTATTTTTAACCCAACAGTCTTGGTTCTGAAGGGTTAAAAGAGCCCTCCATAACTGTTTCAAGATTTTCTTCCAAGAGGCTGACGTTCATGTCACGAGTTTTATATTTGTGTTCTGATGTTCACACACATATGATCCATGACAACCACTCATGGCTGTCAGTGGTTTTAAGACTTCATTGGTTGTTAATACACATTTTTATTTCAGTTATAATAGGGAAAAAATGTGTATCTCAGTATCTGTGAAATAAGGTTTTCACTAATATGTGTTCCTGGAATGTGTGATTTAAAGTATTTACGACAGGAGGATTCATTAGCGTTGGCCACCACGCCTGTCTGTGCCTTCAGAGGGTCAGCATTTTGTATGTTACCCAGGAAGAACAGCTTGTTGTAATTGATTAATCCTGGTCAGTCATCTCTGAAATATTGCCTTCGGTTCTGAAGAACCAAAGAAAAGGTATAAGTGATTTGCCTTTCAATGTTCATCACTTGGTCTTCGTTACCACATTGAAGCTGGCAAGAATTTAACTATCTCTGTCTTTTATTAAAATGCATCCTTACAAAATATCCTGCCAATTCAAGTCTTTTTACCCTTTAAAACCCTTCCAACATTTTTGTGTTAGAGTAAGTTGAATGGAGTTAAACTCCCCCAACCATCATCTTTAACTCTGTTGATATTCTGTTTCAGAATTTGTTTGGAAAAAAGATTTGGCACTAAACACATAAAGAATTCTTAACTAGAGATGCTCTAAGATCCTGCAGATTTGGAAGCTAGAAAGCTGGCTGTTTCCAGCTTTGGGCAAAGGTTACCTGGACCGAGATGCATTAGGTACTCAGATTGTTGTTGAAGTGATTTTAGGGTTTTTTTCAAAATTGAAATATTAGAAGCATGTATACTTTAATGTGTTATTTGAAATTCCTACCTAACAAATATTTCTAACACTTGTATTACTTGTAGTATGATAATTTTTCTAATAAAAGAAAAATCTATTGTCTAGAGCCAGGCAGGTTGACTGTATTTAGATATAACTGCTAATGAAAAATCAAGGAGTTTTCTCAGTACACAAAAGACAGATGGACCCAAGTCCTTCTTTTTCTGAATTCTTCTAGTTAAGCATTTAGCAGCTTTATCATACAGAATCAGAATTACTTTCATTTACCCTTGTTTCTGCTTTGGAGGAGACATTATAAAAAATAATGTTTTCCTTGATAATAAATGACATATATACTTAGATAATAAACGACATATATACTTAGAGGAAATTAAGAAAACACAATAAGTATAAAAAATAAAATAAAAGTCCCGTAGACCCAGCACCTAGAGGTAATCATGAGTTACCAGCTTGGAAGATTTTCTTTTAGTCTTTATGTTCAACACTTGTTATGTGTATATTCACCTGAATCCGACAGGCCAAAAAAGAAAAAATTACACATTCTAAAATACTTTTTTGTATGGTATTTATCATTTATTGTTGATCATTTGTGTGATAGAACATATGTATTCTTTTGTAAAACTGTGGTGACAAATAGTTCAAGACATTTTAAAGGACAGATGAATGAGACAGGTCAGTGTTACCAGGTAGCATTGATTTCTGCATGAAAAATTGCATTATCACCCTGGCCAGGTGGTTCACTTGGTTGGAGCATCATCCTATACACAAAAAGGTGACGGGTTTGAGGTCATGCTACATACCCAAGTTTCTGGTTCAGTCCCTGTTGGGGACAGTAGATAAATAGATAAATATTTCTCTCTTTCTCTCTCTTCCTCCTCCCCTCTCTTTGCCTTGCTCCCACTCTCCCCCGCTTCCTCTCTCTCTCTAAAATCAATAAACATACCCACAGATAAGGATTAAAAAAAATACAAAAAAACTTTGTCATTGATCTTATTAATCATAAGAACATGTTGATATTTCCTGGTCTGCACTTAAACATATTTCTATTGAAGGAATAAGAAAACAGGCTCCTCTGTTCTGTGGAGCACAGAGTGGGGATCTTCAGCTCTGGTAGTCTGACAGGGGTGTTCCGGTGGCCCAGCGGTACCCCAGTATCAGTTCTTGGCTGTGTTGTGTGGTATAAAGTAGCACTAGTTTGCTGGGCAGTGGGTCGGGGTTGTCCATCTACACTTTGGTTGGAGATTATACTCTGTAGTTGGGAATTACCAATTTTCCTTACATGCAATAGAATGCTTTCTGAGTTTTTTGAGACAGTCCTAATTTCAGACATTCTGTGTTGTTCCATGCATGTTCATGATTGGTAGTCTGTGGATACTGATTGTTACTTCCAGTAACTCATTAGAGTTGCCATAGCCCAACCCTGTTGAATGACACCTTGTGCATATGGACTGGACCCGCTTGCACTGAGAACGTGCACACTCATCTTTGTGCTGTGAGGTGTGAGGACACTCAGCTTAGACCTCTTGTGTGTGATTTGGTTTTCTTCTCAGTCTCTGCCAATGGACGTAGGCGCATGCTTCCGGCCAGGCTGGGATCAGCTGCCCCTCCTCACCAAGTCTTTCTCATTGCCTAGACCCAGCCCTGGAGTTTGGCATTCATTGACTTTCTGTAATTATGAGAACATTTTAATGATATATAGTGATGGTATAACTTCACTTTAAAATCAGAATTTGTCATTGTGTCCTTTCAAAGGAAACAAATGTTTTTATGTTACTTAAAATGATCACAATAGCTATGGATGTTCACTGTCACAGATTCCTTAATCGGTGGTAAACACGAGGGCAGGGCTTCAGGTTTCTTCATCTCTCTCAAAACACCTAACAGGGCTCCTGCTACTGGTTGGTGTGCAGAGACGTTATTGATGAACTGAATGCTTAGCTCCGTCGTGTCAGCTTTGGGTATGGCGACATTGCTGTCTGGGCCCTGGTTCCCTTTTGGAAAAAGAAACATTGCTTTTTAAAAAATCTTAACTGATTTTAGGACAAAACCACATAATATAAACAGTCATTGTAATTTTTAGTAATAGGCATCATTAAAATAGTGTGAACTGATAGACTTTCTTTCTTTGCATGCTTTTGCTGACAGAATGGGCAGGTTCGATAAACTAACTGGTCTTTTCCCTCTGTAATATCTATGATTCTTTGAAATTTTATGTAGATAAGTGCAAGCTAGTGTACACTGGAAGGAACGATTGAAACAGCTCCTACTCACTGATGGACTCTGAGTTACTCTACGTGTAAGTGCTCTGGAAAAGGATCTGGAACTCTCTGTGGATTTGAGTGTGATATAATAGACTGTATTATTAACTTTGAGAATGGGATAAAGAATTCAGGAAATAATAAAGTGCATGGAATTCGGCATTGACTATTTCTGTCATTACAGTAAGATGTTTTAATGATTTTAAAAGACTGTGTTATCGGTTGTGGTTGACTTCAGGGTAAGGCCATAACTTTCTCGTCTTTGTGAAACGCTTCCACTGTCTGGCTGTTGCATAAATGACCTCGATTGTTGCTGTTCGCTCCTCTGTTTAGAGGATGCATTTCTACTTGTGAGAGTCAGCTTGTTGACCTTAGAGGAGTTCTCACTGTTCCTTTTCAGAAGCATTAAATTGGCTGTATTGTTGTCCGGGACTAATGCAGAAATGATAAAGCCTAACCTAGTCTAGAGAACACTGAACCAGGTGTTAAGTGTAGCAGAGCTCTGCACGGCGTGTAACCCTAGAGGAATCGTCTAATAAGCTGTCCAGTCTATCAGTCACTTCGGAATTACTTTTGACTGCCTGCTAAATGATGAGCATGTTACAATTTTTTTTCTTCCTTTCCATTTCCACTATAACTTTTAATCACTGTTTTAATAGCCATCTTACCATCATTCTCTTCCACTTTATAGTTGTTTTTTATTGTAGATCCGATTGTGCCATTATTCTGCTCAAACAATCCTGGTAATTCCATCCTGTACACAGTGTTGAGTTGCACGTGTGTTTACCATGTTGCAGACTCCTCGCTTCACTCCTTGGCACACCTTCCATTGCACGTTATCGATATGCGACAAATATCCGCGGAGTTGAATTGCTTATTTATTTATTGCCCCAAGTTGGAGGTTGTGTTTGGAATTGTATGCTTTAAATCCTCTCATTTAATTCCTATGTGGACTTGCTCATTTATGTGTGAGAATGTAAATCTTGTCGTCCTCTGTCTACCTAGTTGTTCAGTTTTATGTGCTTCGTATGTGGCCCTGTGCACAGTCTTTCCAGTGTCAGCAGAAATCTGCGTTGCGTCAACATTAAGCAGAATGCATGAGGATTAAAGAAACCAACTTCAAGACCAGCATTCTGTATAGAAAACTAGTCAGCCGTGGTTATGTGGCTTTGTGGCACTTTTTGACAGCTCTGCTGGCTCAGCTTTCTTTTATTTCACAGACTTAACTGATCTGATTTAGAACATGCATGTGTATGAAAGAAATGTGTAGGGTGTAATAGTGTTCTTAGAAGTTAAATTTACTAATTTTTCCATGTGCAGAGAAGTTATTTTTTAACTTAAAAATGACAAAATATTTTTGCTTGAATGTAAAATAACAAAAGCACTAAAGCCTCATTATAAAATGGAGTTTACAGAGCACCTGTGCTTTGGAAATAGAAGACATTCTGGCAGCAGTGAGACGAGCAAGAAGATATTAACGCCTTTCCGGCGAGTGGTGCTGAGGGCTCGTAGGGAGAAGAACTCGACAGGAAGTTTCTAGACACATTTAGAGCTGGAATTGACAGGAGTTGGCTCATGGAGATATGTCAGCACTAAGAGATACTTGTTAGAGGTGAGTCACTAGTACCCCTCTAGGTAGCTTGCTCTGTGCCATTCTAAATATTGCCCAACAGAGGAGCTGAATAGACACCTCTCCAAACAGGACACACAAATGGCCAAGAGACATATGAAGAAATGCTCAACATCACTAATCATCAGAGAGATGCAAATTAAAACAACAATGAGGTATCACCTCACACCTGTCAGAATGGCCTCCATCAACAAATCATCAAACAACAAGTATTGGCGAGGGTGTGGAGAAAAGGGGACTCTAGTACACTGCTGGTGGGAATGCAGACTGGTGCAGCCACTGTGGAAAATAATATGGTGTTACCTCAAAAAATTAAAAATTGAACTTCCATTTGACCCAACGATCCCACTTCTAGGAATATACCCTAAGAAGCCTGAAACACCAATCAGAAAGAATACATGTATCCCCGTGTTCATAGCAGCACTATTTACAATAGCTAAGATCTGGAAACAGCCCAAGTGTCCATCAGTAGACGAATGGATAAAAAAGCTGTGGTACATATACACAATGGAATACTATGCAGCTGTAAGAAAGAAAGATCTCTTATCCTTTGAGACAACATGGAGGGACCTGGAAAGTATTATCCTAAGTGAAACAAGCCAAGCAGAAAAAGACAAATACCACGTGATCTCACTTATATATGGAATACAGTGAATATAACAGGCTGAGGAATAGGGTAGACCCAGAAACATAGAAGTAGGGTACAGACTGACAACCCTCAGAAGAGGGAGTAGTGGGGGTGGGAAGAGATAAACCACAGAACTTATATGCATGTATGCATAACCAATGGACATGGACAACAAAGCCAGGGACAGGGTGGGGGGGATGGGGAGGAGGGTGTCAATGGGGTAAAAAGGGAGAAACATCTGTAACAAAAATAAAATTAAAAAATAAATAAATAAATAAATATTGCCCAAGATTTCCCACCTAGTTCCTCTGTTCACCGACTCTGCCTTCCCCCTGTGCAGTCGTCACAGGGTAAATCCTATCCCTCCTCGGAGGTCCCACGTATGTCCATTCCCTCTGGGCACGTCAGGCGCTCTGTAAGAGGGGCAAGTGCTGAACTCCTACAGTACCTACAGCCTGTATCTCATCTTTAATAGTTCTTATCGGCTGCCTATATGTCTTTCTCATGTATTTTCTATAACTAGATGGTGTCTCATATACAAATAATGGGTCATTTTGAGTTGAGTTTTTGTTTGTCTTCAATAGATAAATACATGATCCAATACCAAGTTAAACTGCTCCCTGTATTACTCACTCCAGACAAAGTGTGCCTTGAGCTCCTGCTGTTAGAAAGCGGCTCTGTGGCCTTCATGTTCAGCTTTGCATCGGTAGTGTTGTGGGTGGGACGGTCACTGCTCAGGCTCTGCAGCCTCTGCTTTCGTCACTGTGATGTTGCTCCAGTTACTTTTCATAGCTTACTGGTAAGTACTGGGTTGTTCAACACAAAGACTGGCTGTTTTGTTCTGTGAGGTACTGGTATCCAAATGGCGAAACTTTTTGCATATGTTCCAGAATTCATTGAAGTTTGCACCACCACAGCCTTGGGAAGGGCTACAGCCTGTAAATCCGGGTCCTAGGAGGCAGCGCTCGTGGGAGGCTTCCTTTAATCCCCCAAATTAGGCAATTCAGAGACGCTCCTGCACAGAATGGTTTTTGGCTAGTGATGATATGTGACTAGCATCCCAGTTCCCTTTTACATGATCTATCCCTTTCTTTTTGAATAAGGAATTTACCTCTGTGACTCCTAAAATGTCGAAGACCCTTTTAAAGTGTTTCGATATTGTTGCCTATATAATTTTCTTTAACTTAAATAGTTTTCCCTTAAAGTTTTTCTTAATAGAGTAATACTTATGTCTCAGAATCTGATCAGAAATGCCAAAAATTCTATTTAGAACATAAACAGCTGAACTTGTCTAAGTAAAACCATGAGCGTCATTTCCAATATTTGTTAGTATTTCTGAGCCCACTCCAGTAAGGAAAGCACTTGGATTATAGCGGAGACAGCATCTTAGAACATCTTCATCTCGTCGCAATGAACACCAATGTTGTTGGACCGTCAAATCACTAATGTTTATTGAATCTTTACTGTGTGCAGGGCATTAGGCTATACACTGTGTCATTTAATTATTTAAAACCACGTTATTAGGTTTATAGTTGTTATACTCATTTTTTTTCCGGGGAGAGTCTGGAAGGTCACTTGAGCATCCGTGAGCACCCAGCGAGCGAGAGTCAGGGCAGTGGTAGCCACTGTGTGCGGAGCGACAGCGGACGCTGTGCTTCGCGGGCCAGCCGTGGCGCAGCCTGGGGTACCTGGCATGTAGTGCGTGACCTATGCTAAATACTTATTAGCACGTAGCAAACTGTCCCATTAAATAAGGGTTTTATTCTTCTTTTCTAGCTGTATAAGTTTGGAGAGACGGTGTCTATTGTGTTTTGGACAGACACTTGGAGACCAGAGAGCTTCTTTGACAGAGTGAAGAAGAACCGACAGAATGGCATGCACACGCTGTGCTTACTAGGTGAGGACTGTGTGTCCCCTTAGCGGGGCAGTGTGCAGTTGGCCTGTTCTCACCTTGACTCTGTGTTGAGGTGGAACCGTTCTGCGGGTAACTAGCAGTGAGCACCGACACGGTCTGGCCGCTCTGGACATGCCACAGGCTTTCCCATCTTGGGAGACATACGTGATCTGCTCCAGTTCCCACATGGCTGCTCCCCCTTATGCCCTGAGAGATTGATCCTCTCCAGCACCCGTTTGTTCCTCAGGACCCTGGTTTTGTCAGTTCACTGCAGCTCAGCAGATTTCCCCTGGGCATGTTCTTACCAGCTCCATCTGTTACTTCCCAGAGGAGCTCCGTCAGTACGGTAGTGTGCATGCTATCAGAATTACAGAAGGAGAGATCTGAAGCCGACTCGAGATCATCTTAATGAAGCCTGTTTTACAGGCGAAGTGAGACCCAGAGACCCAGAGACCCAGAGTCATCTTCCCGCTGTCACCCAGCCTGGTGGTGGCAGCGTTGGTAGAATCCAGGTAGCCCATAGTCCCAGCCCTTCCCACTGGATCGCGCTGTGTGAGAGCTGGGCCCCGGGTCCTTGTAGATGACAGTGCAGACCCGGCAGACGCACCGGGATGTACTCCTTCCCATTCGCCTACAGTTTCTGTTCTGTGTGTGGTCCCAATGCGGGAGTCGGAGCTCCCACCCCCAGCCGACACAGAGCAGCGGTCACCGGCACACTTCTCCGCTGGTGTGGCGCGCTCACGGACTGGCATCAGTCCTGGGACACTGCGCTGAGCTGCACTGTTGTAGTGACACTGTGGGGTCCTCCAGACTGTCTTCCCCAAGCACAGGATCTGGGCAGAGAAAGAACCCATGAGTCTGGCTTCAGTAGGAAGTACAGATACTCGGAGCCTTAGGAAAGATTCCTGTTTGCCAAAAACGTGTAGGTGACTTGTGTAACATAGCCAGGTCCAGCTATTCACTGATATGTCAGTTGTGCACTATCAGAACCCCATCAGGATGTCTCTCTTAATAGAAGAGATCACAGGAAAGCTTTACTAATGGTGGGCATTTCTCATGGGGTAGAAATGAGAGATTCATGTCTCCAGTGGGTAGGAAACTAGTGCCAGTGGCCGGAGTCCCGGCTGCCTGCCCAGTCGTGCACCACCTGTGGCTGCGTTCGAGCTACGCGGCGGCAGTGAGTGGCCGGGATGCAGACCTGTGGATGCGTTCGAGCTGCGCGGCGGCAGTGAGTGGCCGGGATGCAGACCTGTGGCTGCGTTCGAGCTGCGCGGCGGCAGTGAGTGGCCGGGATGCAGACCTGTGGCTGCGTTCGAGCTGCGCGGCGGCAGTGAGTGGCCGGGATGCAGACCTGTGGATGCGTTCGAGCTGCGCGGCGGCAGTGAGTGGCCGGGATGCAGACCTGTGGCAGCGTTCGAGCTGCGCGGCGGCAGTGAGTGGCCGGGATGCAGACCTGTGGCTGCGTTCGAGCTGCGCGGCAGTGAGTGGCCGGGATGCAGACCTGTGGCTGCGTTCGAGCTGCGCGGCGGCAGTGAGTGGCCGGGATGCAGACCTGTGGCCCTGAGAACCTAAACTAGTTCCTGTCTGTTATTAACAGTTAGTAGAGGGTGCTTGCCGACTGCTGATCTATAGTGAGATTTTACTTCGTCTCACATGGCACGTGCTGTATCCCCACCCAGTGAGCCTCTCCCAGTATCTTGTTTTAGTTTATTCTTTTTTTTTCTGTCTTACCACCCATCTGAATTATTTTACTAACTAGTTGGTTTTCTTCGCTGCTTTCTCCCTAATGTCTGGAGGTCTGGCACAAAACAGCTGTGCAGTAAATATTTGTGAAAGTTAATGGGTTGAAGGTTTTTTTAGTTTATTTTTCTCAGACTTGGTCTTATTACCCTTTGGCACAGAAAATCTTTAACTCTTACTAGTTCATTCAGTTCCAGCCAGAACACATTCCTTTTCTTCCATCACACGGACACCTAATTAACTCTAGGCCTAGATCAGGCCACGGATGCTTCTCTCTGTGTACAAACGCCTGCAGCCCACAGTGAACTGGTGCTGTTTTTTATTTTTTATTGTCAATTTAATACTTTGTTAATTAAATAATTAGTTTTGTCCTTGGATTTTCCATGTAGACAGAGACCAGTCTTACTTTTTTCGTAACTGAGAGATTGAAAACGGGGGTTCACGGGAACTTGGACCCTGGTGTGAGCTTTCTCTCTGTGTGCGCCTTACAACTGATGGAGTTGTTTTGCCACAGATCTCGCAGCCCTAGAACTGCGGGGAGCGCAGAGAGGTAGCGTTTATTTTGTAGAAGCTTCGGAAGGGCAGTTGGAAAAATCAGTCTGCTGGTATTCACTGTGTGTTTGTGTCCTCAGTGTTCAGCGTGGACGGGGTTCTTTTGGAATTGTAAGGAAGTGTTAGGCACGGGTCCTGCCTCAGGGTTTGGAGATGTAGTTGGAAGGAACACATGGGGTACGTGGAAGTTTAAAAGGACAGTTCTGCTCTATTGTGTGGAGCGGCAGGAAGGACAGACCCACATTTTGGCTCTTGAACTCTCTAAGAGCTGCCTCTTTTCTTGGCTTCCCTGGGTAAAGCAAACAAGTTAAACAATGTATCTCTCTTGCTCTGTTAACAAAAGCTGGAACAAGGTGTGAGATACAGGGTGTGGCAAAAGTAGGTTTCCAGTTCTTACAGAAAATAATACAATTGATCAATAATAATACAAGAGTAAACTCTATTTCACCTACTCACAATGGTAAACTGACCTGTGCCCCGCCCTGTGTAAGACCCCCTGACACCAGACCTCTAGCCGTAGAGGTCCTGGCTGAGCCATCTGGAGCCTCAACATCTAATGACCGCTGAGCCAAACCGGCCAGGGCTAAATTAGCACGTATTTATTGAACATCTGCTACTGGGCCAAACTCTGTAGGGATCGGTGAGAATATACCATGGTAGGAAACCACAGAGAATTTAAATTTTATTTGGAGGGATAAGACCAATATATATGATGGAGTTACAGATTTGTGAAATAGAGCATTAGTTGCACAGATAATCTCCAACAACGAAGAGCATCTGAGGGGATGTCAACAAAGGCCAGGAGTGGCCACCTACGCCGCTGCCAGAGTGGCTGGTCTCGGATGGACCAGGGGTGGTGGTGGGAGAGCCCTGTGAGCACATTTATTCAGTGGGTGTTTGTGGCGTGTCTGCCCAGAAGTGTGCGTCATGCTGGGTCCTGGTTCTGAGATGACAGGAGAAGCCTCCATGCTGGCACGTGGAAGGAGAGAGTAAGTGTGGCCTGTGTCCCAACAAGGAAACAACACTCAGAGTGGTCAGGCTTGAGATTAATTCACTTAGGTTCCAGTACAGCGCATGTACCTATAAAAATTTCCCCAATCTTCATTTTTTTAAACTTTATTTTTATTGTTGATACAATTACAGATGTCCCCATTCCCCTTTTTTGCCTGCCCCCACCGAATCCTCTTCATTTTTAAAATACAATTCTATAGAGCATATCATTTAAAAAGTAAAAAAAAAGGAAATGTTAAATCACAAACTTTACTATTGCAAATAACATTTCAGATATTGCAAATAACATATCACTCAAGGTGAATGAATTATACATGTGTTGAATTATGGAAAATCTTACAGATATCATTTAAAGGAATCTGCATTGACTTACACCCCAGTGGTTTCGGAGGCCACATTTCAATAACACACTTTCCCCTAGATGTCCAGATAAGTGGAAATATTAAATAATGATATATAAAACCAGAAAAATACTTTCACCACTGGTTCTAAGAACATTTAGAAATACATAAATGGGATAATCTCTGCTCTATTTTCCAAGCAAGGTCTTTAGTGTCTTTTCTAAAAAAAACTTTTATGATCACTTAGGAGAGCTGTAGAAGTCTGTCAGCAAGACCCCTCAGTCACACTCTATTTACTTTTACAAAAACAAACCCTGGCTGACCCATGTGAGTTTGTGGAGTAGGAAGCAGCTGTGTCCACTGTATACGAATTCCTCCGAGGCTGGACGGGCTCTTCCTTTTGCCTTTACCAGCTAGTCCAGGCAAGCACCAGTGGAGAGTCGAATGTTTGGGATGCTCAGGTGGCCGGGCTTCGAGGGAGCAGGTTCTGTGCGGTAGCCCCCGTGCCATCCCCGTCCCTGGCATCCGTGCTGGGGAAGCCGTGTTAAATTATGGTTGTTTGGTATTAAAGTGTTTCTCCATAAGTTATCAGGGCAAGTCTTAACGTTCATAGGACGACAAAAGTCTTTCCTTATGCAGTAAGAACTTTCTTCTATTTATGTTACATGCATTGAGACTTACCTTCTGGTGCCTGAAAAATAGGTAGGGCTGGGCACACGGCAGACTTTTCACTGTGTCTGCAGTCACCAGCTAGTAGACATGAACACAGAGATGTGATTCGCTGTTAGATACTGTACATGCCAGTATTTATGTCACTGCTTCCTGTGGCTTCTCTTCCAAGAGGAAATTAGTTCCTCTCAGGATGGTCTCAGGGCCAACTACGTGTTTGTTTTCTAACTACCTTGCTCAACCACAAGCTTCCATTCTCTGTATTTCCATGTAAAAGTGGCTAGATCCATGATGAGGGAGACTCACAGCTCTCAAATGAGCTTTTTGGAGACTTGAACATTTCCCCAAAACTTAGGTTTACACATGGGATTTTGGATACAGTGATTAATTACATTAAATGAGAATTATTTTTTACTTCCTTCAGACATCAAAGTAAAGGAGCAGTCGCTGGAAAATCTAATCAAGTAAGTCTTGTTCCAAGAATGTGTCCATCTATTTTAATTCCTTGAGCAATTCAATAAACTCTACTTCAGTGACATCAGTTCTGAAGATTGTGGAAAATCAGCTTTCCTTACAGTTAAAAATTGAACACTTTTAATCTTATGAAATGATGAGAAATGTGATAGTGTGGAAATGGCAGTAGGTTTTGTGGGTCCGTGACTGCGGGGGTCTGCACTTGGCAGGCCCTCAGGCACTGTGTGCGGAATGAATGGAAGGCAGGGCTGGGAGTCCCAAGTCTGCCACTGGCTATGGCTCTCCGGCGAGTCCCTTCTGTTTCTGAGCCTTATTTTTCTCATACATCTGAGAGACAGTGTCCAGACAGCAGCTCCTTCCCACAGGTGACGGATAAGCACTTGAAATAGGCTAGTGTCACTTAGGAACTGAATTTATAACAATTCTAATTAATTAAAAACTAATAACTCAGCTTAGTTAGTAGAAAACTTTTAAGTATATTTAGAACAACTTCAATGTATAAATCTACTCTTACAACCATGCATTTTATGAAATCTAAATACAGATCAAGTATTTCTAACAAAAATCTAACATTTGGATCAGTTTGCTAGGAGCATAAACTACGTAACAAATTTCAAAAACTCCGTGCAAAAGTAATCTCTGATTTTATAGGTGTAAATGTAATATATTTTGGACACAGTGAGTTAAAACATTAAAACTAATGTCCTTTTTAAAACTTTTGTTAATGTGGCTACTTAGAAATTTTAAATTTATGCTGTGGCTTGCATTATATTTCTCTTGGACAGTGCCGACTCAGAATTGTCTCAAAAGTCAGTAAAATAATCTGTATGCACTGCTTTGCCCGCTGCGCGAGCTGTTCTCTGGTCACTGGGCGGGCGCCGCAGGCTCAGCCCGGCAGAGGGAAGCATCCCGCCCAGGCTTTCCAGGTGTTTGCGGTGTTTGCTTGGAGGAGGCAGGGGGGCGGAATCGGGCTCCCACGTGGCAGTGAAAGGGCATGCTGCAGAACCCTTAAGCTGGGATACAGAACACTGCCACTCGGTTTGGATTACTTTTGCCTAAAGTATCACTTTGAATCAAGGTAACTTTAAAACATTTTTAAGTCGTTGGACTTGTGTTTCCGCCAACATTTCAGCGGGTCAGAGGGCAGGTGAGGTAGAGCGATGCAGAAGGCTGAGAAGCAGGAGGGACGACTGCATCCTTTCGGGGCCGCCACGGCGGTGCTCACGAGCCTCCAGGTGCGGGGCAGGTCCGGGAGCGGGAGCGGGCTCCATGTGCGGGATGTAACTTCACGGCCCCGACCAATGGACCTGCTCTCACAACTTCAGGGGACGGAAGATCTACGAACCTCCTCGCTATATGACTGTAAACCAGGCGGCCCAGCAACTTCTGGAGGTTGTTCAGAACCAGCGAGCACGAGGAGAAGAGCCAGGTACTCAAGTCCCCAGCCAGCGGCCTTGGCCCGCCGCACTGCGCCCCGTGACCCAGCGGCCGCGCCCAGATAGGCCCCCGCCTCCCCCGAAGCCCGGTCGCTGTGCGCGTCCAAGCCCTTTCCCAGCCTCAACTCAAACCTCGGAGGCCGGAAGTTGTACTGAAAGAAAAATAGTGGGGTTATTTTTCCTGAAAGCAATGCCACTCCAGAAAGTGAGGATTTCTCCCAAATTAACTTCAAGTCACATTTGAAGTAAATGTTACTATATAAATACGTTGATAAAATATAGAACTTGATAGTGAGGCTTGTCCTGCAAAAATATATTTATTCTGTTTTTTCTCATTCTCAGCACTGAGACCAGAGCTAGTTTTCTTCAGGTTAGAGACTAGAGAATCTGTCCTTGTATTCCTAACACGTAGACATAGTGCGTAGTATGTAAAAAATGTTTATTGTCAGCAAATCTTTACTGAGAGGTCCTTAATGAACTTAAATTATGTTCCAAGGTGCTGACTGCCTCTAAGCACCTATCTCCTGATGGAAAAGCTCTATAGAGATTCTTGAGAGCAAATACTTTAGAAAAGCCTTTGATTGGATCATTGGCCCTTGATGAGTGACTAAGGAGATTTAAGATATTTGGGGCTTCTTGAAATGTCCTTTTGGTACTGATGTTGGCTTGACTACCGGACAGGTTGGCGCATTTGCAGAACTGAATGGTGGTATCTTCCTTTATTAACTAGCAGTCAGCGAGGACACGTTGTGCGTGGGACTGGCCAGGGTTGGAGCTGAGGACCAGAAGGTCGCCGCCGGCACCTTGCAGCAGATGTGCTCCGTGGACCTGGGAGGACCTCTGCACTCCCTGATCATCACAGGAGGCAGCCTGCACCCGCTGGAGACCGAGATGCTGAGTCTGTTTCCTGTGCCAGAGCGGCAGTCGGGGTCCCAGAGCGCCGAGAGGCTCTGCACATAGGTGTCATCTGGCACGGAGCTAAGCTCGGCCCTAGTGCGTGTGCCGTGTCTGTGGGACAAAGGGAACAGGTCTTCTGTTACCTCGTAAGTACAGCCAAGTGACCAAGAAGAAAGACGATTCCACAGCGCTCTGCTTCCCGGGCTGGGTTTGCCTCTGACACCGTCAGCTGGTGCTGCTGGTTCCACAGATGTTCAGGATAGAAACACATGGAGCAGACCAAGCTGGAAAGCTTGTAGTGGACACCCATCAACAGAGCTGTTGAAAAACAGCTTTTCTTTATGAAACCTACGCAAGGTGGTAATCCTCCTTTCTTAAGAATCAGCTGCCCTGACTGCAGGGTTGTGCTGGTGGCGGTGGGTACGGGCGACTGAGCAGAGGTGGGGGCACACATCCCACGTCCTCAGAGCTCATTTGAGCACCTGCCACAGGAGGACTCCATCCTGAATTGCCTTGTCTTATTTAGCTGACATCCTAATTATGGAGCTCATATTTGGCTGTATTTTGGAGATTATATAATTGTTCATTATAAATGTTCAGCCAGCTAAGTACAGTTAGTTGCTCTTTGGTTTTAAATAGCAACTCTCACAGCCAAGTTGACAAATGGAAAACTTGCTGACTACAGAATAAAGTTTTTAAAATTTTAAGTTTGAAGACAACAGTCAAGACTCTTCATATCACTTAGCTCAGTGTGCCACTCTATAGATGCGACTGGTCACCTTCTTACTCATTGTGAACAACACCCCTTGATTATATCATGACCATAGAGTTTTATACTTTTTGTTCATTCATAACAGACATCTTTGTTAGTTACTGGTGGGGCTATTCTAGTTCTGAGGATTTCCGTGGCCTAATCCACTTGTCTGACCATACTGAAAGCCACAGACAGGATGTCAAAGCCAGTCCTGGACCTGTGTGTAGGGATAAAAAGGAAAGGTGTTTGGAATGAATGCAGATAGGAGCTCTCAGCAGAGAAATGGAAACCAACCAACAACCGAAAACCCAAACGGCTGGACCTCACAGCAGAGGGCAGAGAGCAGGTGAGTAGAAAGCACCTGAGGAATAAAGAACAGATTGGAGGGGCGAGAAAACAGCTTCAGTGCCGCTGATATCAAGCAATGTAACTCACTGTAGAGCGGGTCCTCTGGTAATGTTATAACATGCGTAAGAAAGGCAGATTCCTGACCAGGGCCCGACTGCCCGGCTCTTCCCCAGTTCCCAGAGATGCACACGGGAAGAGAGTTGGCCTGTCGCCTGGCCCCAGTAGGAGTGGGGGTGTGTATGAGTGCGCCCCAGGATGGAACAAATATTTTTGGGGGATGCTACGTAGGATCAGATCCGTGTACTAATGACGGGTAGAGCCTTTGTTCATACACAGGCATGTGAGGTCGCTTTCCTGCACTTTCTCTCCACAATCTCACTTCTTCCTGGTTCATCAGGCTCCTCCTTTCAGTCCTCTGGCCAGAAACTTGGGAGTTGTAGTTACTCTGCTCTGCTGCTGTCTCCCCTCCATGACGGCCTGCATCCTGCACGGGCACGGGGACGGAGGGGAGGAACAGCAGCGGGGGTTGCCGCACTTGAAAACATGGCTCAGCCCAACAGGGCTGCCCGCTGCAGGGTGGCTTTTGGTTCCACACTTGCTGGCTTCCAGGACAGGGCCACCTGGGACATCTTTGGAAGCCAACGAAGTTGCAGCTCCAATAATAGAACTGTAAGTGTAGTAACTTTGTCTTCTAGAGTGGAGTGACAACTTGATCTGAATGCCCAGGGTGGGAAACAGTGATCACTCATCAGACAGACTTTATTTTTTAATTTAAGAAGTTACCGGGTATTCAAAAGGCCAAGCCAAATGGCAGGATTCTGATCGCTGTAAAACTACCTGTGCTTAGATGTGAATCTGAATTATTTGCCTGCTTATACCCTTTAAAAATATTATGGCCCTTTTGGTTTTGCTCAGCGGTTAGAGCGTCGGCCTGCAGTCCAGAGCGTCTCAGGTTCAATTCCAGTCAAGGGTACTTACCTCAGTTGGGGTTTGATCCTCGGCCCTGGTTGGAGTCATGCGAGAGGTAACCAATGGTGTGTCTCTCTCACATCGATGTTTCTCTCCCCCCCCCCCGCCCCTCTTACCCACTCTATCTGAAAATCAGTGGAAAAATATCCTAGGGCGAAGATTTAAAAAATAAATAAATACTATTATGTGCCTACGTTCAGGAAATACTTGGGGGAACACCGGGGTTTTTGCCTCGTTTCGTGTTCAGCCCTGGGCTTCTCAGCAGCTGCCGCACAGAGCAGTTGTCTGGTTGCCTCCAGGAGCCAGCCTCTGCGTTTGTCAGCTCACGGCCACCAGCAGGCTCCTCCGTCACTGGCATTCGTCAGATAAAGGTGACTTGGCCCTGGCCGGTTTGGCTCAGCGGTGAGAGCATCGGCCTGCGGTCCAGAGAGACCCGGGTTCGGTTTCCGCTAAGGGCACGTACTTCGGTTGCAGTTTGTCCCCGGCCCTGGTTGGTCGTGCAGGTGGCAGCCACTCGATGTGTCCCTTTCACATCGATGTTTCTCTCTCCTTCCCACTCTGTCTGAACAAGAAATGAAAAAATGTCCTCAGGTGAGGATTAAAAATAAATAAAATAAAATTGTTTAAAAAAAAAAAAGTGACTTGTTTGTTTACACGTGGTAGCGTGTGCTGAGCCTGCACTTCACGGTAGATGTTTCCAAAGCCTGGAAGCCCAGCTGGAGGAGCTGGGAGCTGCTCGAAGGAGTGACAGTCCCACGGAAGCTTCTGTCTGCTGTTCTGTACAGTGAAAGTCCTGGCGGTGTCGTGTCTGCATCTGTTTGGGTCCTGCCTGCGCCTCCCTGCCTTCGCTCTCTGGTCCCGAAAGTGAACATGCTGTGGGGTTGAACGGGAAGGGAAAGCACTGTGTTTCTCAAGTGGTTCAGAGGAGAGATGTGTATTTTATGAGCAGTGTGGGAGCCACTCACCATTCCTGAGCTGGACGACCGAGGCTGGACGGTCTACAACCCAGGGAGGCTCTGGCAGCGGGGAGGGGCGGGGGGCAAAAATTCCCAAGATCGAGTGGTGAAATTGCAGGGAAGAGCGTGCCGAACCTGTGTGTGAACAAAAGGAGCTGCTCTTGGGTGTGACAGGTCACTGGACTTCAGTGGGGTCAGAGGCAAATTCCAGACAACACAGGAAAGGCAGGGAGTCCTGGCAGGTGCTGGAGCCCCGGCAGGTCAAAGTCCAGTACGCAGAAGGGCCACCAGGAGGTACTCAGGAAACCAGGGCAGGGGACTGTTTGCAAAAGGCCTGGCAAGTCTCACTCAGCAGAAATTTCTTGTGCTTCCTGCCTGAGGCCAGAACTCTGTGGGTGGGTGGGGGTGGGTGGGGGTGGGGTGGGAGGGCCTGAAATGGAGGTGGCATGGGACAGGCGGGGAGCCAGAGTCCCTCCAAAGGACTCTGCGCGCAGTCGCCCAGGATAGTAAACAGGATAGTGGGGATGGAAAGGTACATCTGGAAGGTCACAGAGGAAGAAGACAAGGAGCCTGGGATGGCTTCAGGAAGCGGAGGAGGCCGGTGTAAGATCCGTAAGATTTGAGTGGGAAAGCTCCAGCTTGTTTCTCTGTTCATTTAACAGGCTGGCAGTTGTTACGTGACAAGAAAGCACGGGTGGCCTTTGACTAACTGCTGACTAGGGAGGAGGGAAAGCCATCACGAGGAGCTATGAAAATGGGGGGCATGTGCAGGCCACACAGGACAGCCCCCACGTGCGGCAGACGGCTGCGGGGACGAGGCTCCTGCTGGGACAGGGGGTCTGAGAAGGCAGCAGTGGGGTCTGGCTCTGTGGCAAACTTACTTTGAAAAAGAATTGCTTCTGACTTCGAGGGAAACCAAACTGGAAAGAGAACGGCTCACATCAGACGCTCAGCTCTGCACTCCCTGTGAGCTGAGACCATCAGAGCCGGCGAGGTCACAGAACCATCTGGGTTAACGGAAATATCTGGACGTACATCCGAGACACGGTTGTGAGGTAAGAGCAGGAGTGGAGCCGCAGCGAGGATGCTCAGCTCAGACCGCCCGCTCCCATGACTGGTTTCCCTGCATTCCTCGGCCTCTAGAACCTGTGCACGACTCAGGCTCAGCATTCTTTTCGGGTCATCAAACTGACAGGCACAATTCAGGTACAGATTTTTAAACAGAAATTTTATTGGAAGAATTGATACAGTTGTTTATTCTTTTTAAACACATCTGAGGTTAAACAAAACATACACAAGAACGCCTTCAGGTAACAAAAAGCGAAGTCTACATTGCAGGCTTGTGGAATTGTACTCAGGCAGATCATAACCGCTTACTTTGGCATGTGCAACCAAATTACAAGTCTCAGAAAAACACCCCAGCCCAGCCTTGTACACAAACGTGTTTAGAAATGTGTTCAGCCACAACCTTCACCAAGGGAATCAAACCCAAATTCAAATGTGGCGGTAAGTTCAGAAACCATTCAAGACAGGGAAGTCAGGTGTTGTGGGGGTGCTGAGACTATACTAGGAAAGGATTTGGCAAGTTTTGATTCACAGTATTTCTGATATAAAAGGCTATTCTGTTTATATCAAACTCACAAGTGTTGGGGTAAAGTATCACGTGGACAGAAATATCACTGGATTTGCTGCGGTTATAGGAAGCAATAGATTACTTGGCAAACTCTTGGCAGGGATACATCGAGTTTCAAATAGAAGCTTCACTGAGCCTCATCGGTGCATGTGATATATAAACAAAGTTCAAATACGAAAATTCAAAGTAAAGCTTTGTTTTCACCAGTAGAAGGGGAAATTCACCGGGGCAGCAGTAATGAAATGGATGAAAGTAACTGAAACACAGAGAAGCTCTTCTAAAACTTAGTATCTAGAGAGGAAGAGAGAAGAGATGGAAAACTGTGCTAGAATATTTAATCACACACTGCATGTAGTGTTAACAGAGCACCTGCAGGATCTCTCTCGAGAAGAGTTTTGGATAATACATCTGGGTAAGTGAAATACAAGACATGTTCTACACAGGTCCTTAATATGAACACGGCAGCTCTCCACAAAAACAATGGAGATGATGTGGTTTCTCACTTGAATTCAAAATGCCAAATTCAAGTGGCCCAGGTTCCAGGCTCAGTTCTGAGTTCCTGTCCGGCAACATGCAAAATGGCCAACATTTCTACATTTCCACTGTTTCTGTGTGAAGATGAATGACCAGCTCACCCTGGGCTACTTGAAAAAAAAAATGGCCCAAGGAAATGTAAAGTCACTTATCTGTGCAAAAGGCCAAAGAAAAGCTGAGTTGGGTTGTGCAATAAGCAGCACATGACAGGTTTTGCCTGTCCCAACCCTCACTGGTATCCTCCACCAACCACAGTACTTAGTCACTCACCACCATCCATTGCATGCAAGTGTGAATCCATGCCCAGGTCAGGGATAATGGGATGCATGAGACATTTTTTTTACAGACTTCCAACATCATGATCAAAATGACAAATATGAAATCTTGAAAGCCGTGGGGAGAATTCAAGGTTAAATATTATTAAGTTAAGCAGAGATGACTACTTATCACGAAACATATTCCTTCTGAAAAGGTGTCTACAAAATGAAATGCCAATCAAATCCTATGTACCCCTCTTATGCCGCACACAATTATTTGTACTTCTTCAAAGACAGTTTCCGAGCGAGTGAACACCTCTCAGCCAGGCTCGCTTCCCTTGACTACACTGGCACTGACTGGGTCAGTCCCTTCAGCAGCTTACTCTGTGAGTGTCAATGGAACTTTACTTTTTTATAAGTTCTTCAAAGTGCTTAAAGGAGTTCTGATTGTCCTTCTGAGAATGCAGGTGAAGTTCAGTGACAGGCAGGATATAAGCACAGAGATAGATGATGGAAAGAATGAGCCTGCGCAGCGTGTGGGTAACAGCTGCTCCCCGTCTGTAGGAGAGTGGTCAGCTCTGCCCCACCTTCTGGGGTCGTGAGCTCATCACAGAAGACAGCAGAAAGGCACAGCTCAGGGAAGCCCCGGATGTTTGGGCAGTGCTCCTCCACCTCCCCGCCCCAGTCCCAAGCAAAACAGTCCCATTCTCTCAACAGCTCCCCACCTGTGAAACGGGGTTAAGAATTCCTCACGGGGGTGTCGGGAATCAGAAAAATATTTGAAATTATCAATCATAAAACCATGCAAAATTCTTTACAGAAATGTGAGGATTTCAAATGTGACTGTGCAGAGCACAGCCTGACACGCGGACACTCGGGAAGGGTGAAAGCCCACCCTTTCCATGAAGTTTCCGTGAGACAGTGACCACTGGTTCTGTGGCCGAGATCTGCATCGCTGAGGCTTCTGGGGCATAATGTGTTGAAACAATCTTCTTCCAATAATAACATTTTTAATCAGTGTTTTTGAAAGAAAAACATAATTTCTTTTTGCCAAAGATCTTGTGAATTGGAAAACAATTTTTAAAATTTTATTGCTTTTAGAGAGAGGAAGAGGGGAGACAGAGAGGGAGACATCAATTTTCATTGCTCCACTTTTTTACGCATTCACTGGTTGATTCTTATATGTGCCCTGACCAGGAATCGAACCCACAACCTTGGCATATGGGGAAAATTATTTCACCAGGGTGAAAATAATTTTTTGACGGTGACAGGAAACAAAAATTTCTTACGGGAATGCTTTTATGAAGAATTGAAAGTAGCAGTTTAGCATCTGGGATTCTGATAAGAGTTCAGCATTTTACCCTCCTGAGTGAAGACAGTGACTTTGTTCTCTCCAACAAGTAGCGCCTGGTTCCGTGCGGCTCTGAGAGCAACATGCAAAGTCTGGCCGCTGTCCGGGGACTGCAGCTGAGGCAGCCGCCGAAACGATGAGGCCTGTGACGAGCCTGGCTTCTGCGAAGTACCCAGGTCAGAGAATCTGTCCAAAATGAAGACACGAAGCCATCCTTCCACCGGATTCAGCCTTGAGCCAATTAACAGAAGACCCACTCACAAGTTAGAAATATCCAAAACACAGATGTCATCAATTCTTTAAAACCAGGAACTGGCTTCACAAAAGTAAAAAAAGAGTAAAAAATGTAATTATATCTTCCATAAAGAACACTATGGAAATAATATTTTAAACCTCATAATCAGATATGAAAAATAAGACAGTAAAACTCCATTTATAAAGTGCGTTCATGTACCAGAAATGGAGGTCAGGTGTCCTTTACATACAAATGCTTTTCGTCACTGGCAGAAAGCAGATTCCACGAGAAGGCAGCACAGGAAAGTAGAAAGCGCTCGACTCGGAGTCAGAAGGCCTGGGTGCTAGTCTTGGCTTTGCCACTACTTATCTCCGTGACCTTGAGTGAAAGACAGTTTTTCTGGGCTTGACATTCTCATCTGAGAGGTAGAATAGACTGCTTCGAGGGACAGTTGCCTTTGATGTCAGGTTCTGTGCTAAGCAATGAAATATTTCTGTTCTTAAATCCCAGCATTACATAAGAGGATGCTCTCATCTTAATAATCTATAAAATGGGTTCTGGTAGGAAAAACATAGCAGACTCCGGCCAACACATTTGGAGTCGATGATCTGGCTGCTTTACAAAGTGCACAAAAGTCACAGTATTTTGGTTACTGGCATCCATGCTGAAGCATCCTGGATACGAGGGAATCACAGTGGCAGTAACATGTGGCTACGCGTCCTTAGGCCTCTGCAGAAGACAGCACGGGGGTGACCGTGAGGAACATGGAGCGACATGTACACTGGGCCTGTTCCACACAGGTGCGTGGGCTGTCGGCAAGGTGAGGGAGTTGGCTAAGCCCTCCTCTTGATCAGTATAATCTAGCCTTGAAGACACAAAACCAGTGTAGATATTTCTGCTTGGGAAAGATTACTTGGCAAGGAAACTTCCCCTGAGCAATGGAAATTTGTTCTCTGAGAATATTTTGACTTTTAAGTTATTAGCAAAGTTAGACTCAGAGATTCCACCCCCCCAAAGGTTAGCCCAACAACAGAGACATTATAGATTTATTTTATAACAATAATCACGTAGTATTTCTCAGTGAAGTGGTCTGCTTTAGCAATACATCTGGGCCAACAACACTGACAAGACAAAGCATTTCCTAAGAGGGAGGAAAAAGTTGCTTTTTCTCACTGATCTTCTACTGCTGCACACACAAGTTTAAAGACGTTTCATTAAAGCCTAATGTCCACTTGATAGATAGGAGCTGGTGATCTCCTGGAGCAGGTGCAACGTTAGACTTTCCTATCACTGATGCTCTCCACATTTGATGCCTCATCAAAGAAAAACCATGCCTGTGCACTGCTGTATTGAGCGTCATTAAATAAACCAATGTGTACTTGGACAAAAGCTTCACTTGGAATGGAGGGCTCAGCAAAAGGCAGAACTGGACCCTCAAAATGCACTCACAAATTTTACAGGCCAGTGCAAATCTCTGCACATGTGAAAATCAACGAATTGCACGCACACAGTTTTAAAGGCACTCATCCTGAATCCTGCCTTCACCTGGAAGTCATTTCCCATCATGTGCCCACCCAGGGGCAGCAGGCTCCAGCAGCTTGGCAGCAGATGCACACTTCTCAGGGACTTCTCCACTGTGAAGAGCAGTACCGTTAGCAGGCATTTCCTTGGATACTTTCCCTCCTAACCCAGCTCGGCAATGGTTTTAGTTCAGCACAGTCTACTGCAGGAATTCTTAGCTCTGGAACTGCCTGGCAGTAAGGAATAATGTTTTGAAAATACTGCTTAGTCTGCAAAAAGAAGACAATTGACTGTTCATGGCCATCTGCAGGAGTTTAGAAAAGCGTGAAGAGAGTAGTCTAGTTTTCCTAATACAGTGTCGTTTATAAATCGTGGGTCAGAAGTAGAGAACAGATATTCTAGAACTTAGACAAAATCAACAGCAATTTCTGCCACATTGGTGGAAAAGTGCTTATTATCAATCTACATTCTAAATAGCCATTCCCATCCTGCAGTGTTTTATTCCCCCAACAATTTCAATTTTTTAAAGTCAAAAGGGAATATACATTGTAATAAATGAAGTACAATGGGAAAATGCCTACCCAGATCAGTATTTCCCCATAAAACAATATTTAAGTAGACTGCTCAAGCATCTCATCTTGGAACTGCAGTTTTACTTTTCAAATACACAGAACCTAGAAACGAACTCCTTTCTGAGGCCCTAAGGCCCCGTGTGGGGGCGCTGCCCCCGCTTCTGCCCGGCCCATCAGCGTCAGCGCAGCCCCGTGCTGCTCGGCCCTGTGCCGTGCTGGCCCCGACACAGAGTGGGGCTGGCACCTGAAGGATGGGAGAGCAGAGTGACACTGTCACCATCGCTTCTGTCTTCAGTATTGCCTTTTCCCTTCTTTAATAGAATCCACAGGAAGTAGCAAGGACAGATACAGGAAAGTTTGTCACAGACAAACAGCAAATATTTGAAGTCAAAACAACTGTGACTATAACAGATGCACTTGCAAAGTTTTGAAAACACAGTCCACAGAATAATATGATAATGGAATTTGATTTAAAAAGCAAAAAAATACCCTTTATTTTTTGACGAGATAAAGTGACGAAAGGAAAATTCCCATGTATCTAACCCTCGCTGGAGTTCACAGAAAGACGACCTGTGCACGTTGCACAGGCTACAGAACATCCATTGAGGAAAACGTACTTGACTTCAGATGGTGGATTTCGATGCTGGCAAATACATTTGCTGAGACGAAGGCACTTTGAAAACCCAATATGGTTTGGTTCATAAGTTTGCAAGGTACAAACAATTTTACAAACATATGATTACACCGAAGAACGTCAACAGTGTGACATTACATATAAAACAGATTCTATTTCCTTTTTTTTTTAAGAACACTGGTTTTGTGGGAATGAGAGCTGCGGTTTCCAGCGGCTTCAGTGGAGACGCCCAGACGGGAGGCCCACAGTCAATTTCTCACTGGCCGGGAGGAGGGGTGGTGTGAGGACATTTCAAATGAAAAAAGAAAAAGGAGAAACAAACAAAAAGCAACACCCTGGGAGAAAACCAGAAACCTCTGAAATCAAAATGGTTTGGGGAGGCAGGCACAAGGGCCAGACCCCAAGTCCAGGAGAGAGGATCTGAACTCTGACCCCTAGCTGTGAACCTGCAGAGTGCAGTCGGCAGGTCTACCGGTCGACCAGGCCTGGGCGCTGTAGGGATGAGCGCTCTCTTAAACAGCCAGGTACAATGTCTGGGATTGTACAGTACCAGGAAAATGTGGTCCCCAGAGAGCAGCTTCTCTTCACTCCTTACACGGCTGCGAAGTCGATCTGTACATAAAGCTGTCTCACTCCGGCCTGAAAAGTTAAAAAAAAAAAAGAGAGAAAATCAAACAAGCCAATAACTATACAGTTTGGAAAAGTTGTCGGAAAAAAATCTCATTTTTTTAGGAAAAGAAACAATTGTTTTTTTCTTTCTGCCTCTGGGATATGATTCTTTTTTTTTTTTTTTTTCCATTATAAAGAACCAATAGGTTGATTTTAGGAACAAACATGTTCGTAAATCATACAAAAAGTCTCCATTTGCCTTTACAAAATAAAACCATACAAGTAATGACAGGCTTGTCCGATTGAGTATCGGGAAAACGAGTCACCTGTCTACCATGACCTTGCAGTGAACATCACAGAGCTCACCTAGTTGGCTAATCACGTGGAAAAGCAACGCAGTCTAAATCTTGCAGGGTAAGTACCCCATCTCTCCTGCATTATCAGTTTCTCTACACTTGCTGATTGCAACCATCATTTTTGCCACTTACCCCGTCGAACAGTTTGTGAAGGTCACCTCAAAGTCGCTCGGTTCTCAGTCCTCATCCTTGTGCTCATCTATCAGTAAGGACAGGGGTGACTGCTCCTGCTGAGACACCTGTCGCCTGTCACCTCACTTATCAATCTTTCTCTGTCTCCTCTACGGGGTCTGTCTTGTATCTTCAACACTCCACACAGAAACACTCAGTCCCCAGGTCCCTTCTTTTTCTGTCCTGTTCCCCAGGTGATCGTGCCGTCCCCATACCTCAGCACCAGCTGCATGCTCAGCCTCCACATCTACCCCAGACTGGAACCCACCCACCTACCCGCAGTTCCACTTGGACGCCTGGTAAGAGTCACCACACAGCCAACTTGAACACCGTCTCCTTCCCCAAACCAGCTGCGCTTGTCTCCTACAGCTCAGTCCCACCCTTCACGTTACAGCCAGACCTTTCTATCCCCCATCCAACTCTTTGCAAAACCTGTCTGCATTACCTTCAGAATAACGCAGTCTCGGACTCCGACCACTTTCCATATCCCCCTGGCTGCCACCCTGGCCTGGGTACTGTCACCTCCCCCTAGATCTGCAGTCGCCTCTGGCCCATCTTTCCTGCTTCTTTGCCTTCCTTTGACCTATTTCCGGTACAACAACTATAGTGATGTCGCTCCATCATCCCAACCCTACAACAGTATCTTCCTGAGTCCTTCAATGGCCTACAGAACCCCCCGCCTCCCATGGCGACCATGGCCCCTGGTTACCTCTGACCTCATCTTTGACTCCTCCCTTGGCTCATGCTGCTGCAGCCACACTAGCCCTTCTGCCTGGGACAGTGCTCCTCAGGACAGCCATAGGACACTGTCCTTCTCTGGTCCCATCTCTACACAGATGCCAGGAAGGCTGACGCTGACCACTGATATAAAATGCATTCAATTCATTCATCCAACAATTATTTTCTGTGCATCTACTGTGTTCCAGGCACAATGGTGAACCAAGCAGATGACAAGTATCTTTACCCTCATGGAGTTTACATGCTACTGGAAGCTAGGAAGGAAGGGAGATGATAAACAAGCCAGTAAATGCAGTGTGTTAGATGATGCTACACAGGCTGTGGAACAAGCAAGTGGACACGAGAGGTAGAGGCCTCAGCCCCCCAGGCCTCCCTGCCCTGTTCTCCCATCCCTAGCATTCACCCCTCCTGACGTGAAAACTTACTTGCTGGGCTTCTGTGTAGTCTCTCCAAGATAAAGGACTGTCTGTTGCTCACTGCTGACTCCCAGAACCAGCACACAGTAAGTGATCAATAAATATTTGTTGGAAGAACTGTAACTCCACTAATTCCCTTGTCTCAAATATGATTTTTTTCAAAGTAAAGCAGATCAGTTACAATAAGCAGTATCATGTCCATATCATAAAATGAAAGGTAAGTCGGAATATTCTGGCGAAAAGAAACCACCAGAGTGGGGGATAAAACATTAACATGACCTTCTTACAGTACGTTCTGGGGTCCCCAAGGCGTCCCCATCTGGCACTCGGGTGGGAGGCCTCTGCAAATAGTGACAGGCGCCCAGGAACGAGGAACCGCGCTAATGGGACCGAGAGCTGCACAGGTCCTAGCTCACCAGCACAGAAAACACTTTAGCTCTTTGCCTCATTAAAAATAATCCTTGCGCCCTGGCCGGTTTGGCTCAGCAGTTAGAGCGTAGCCTGCGATCCAGAGAGACCCGGGTTCGGTTCCTGCTAAGGGCATGTCCTTTGGGCATGTACTTTGGTTGCAGTTTGTCCCTGGCCCTGGTTGGGTTGTGCGGGTGGCAGCCAATCGATGTGCCCCTTTCGCGTCGGTGTCTCTCTCTCTCTCTCTCTCTCTCTCTCCCTCCCTCCCTCCCTCCCACTCTGTCTGAATAAAAAATGAAAGAATGTCCTTGGGTGAGGATAAAAAAATAAATAAATAAAATAATCCTTGCTGTAATCAAGTTAAAGTTCTCTGGAAATACATTTAATAGAACCCTCTCCTTAAAGAGGTTTGTGGCAGGAAAAAAAGATAGAACTTAATATCTATGACATTTAGCTACAAATTAAAACCAATTCAGTTTTTCTCACTGTAAAGTGTTGCTAAAATACCAATCCTACTTATCTCACAAAACTGTTATATATTCATTCATCCAATGTTTGACAAATATTTAATAAACCCTTGCGACGTGCCAGGTGCTATGAGACGGATCAAGTGCAATAGGAGAAAGGATTTCACGTGCTCTAACAGGCTGCTAAACCAATGATTATGATTGCTTAATTACACTTGATTTGGTCAACCCAAACGGCCCCTGGGATAACTTTCTTAGGAACTCTTCTGTAAAATTCTTGTATGTCTCACCTGAAGACAAAACAACTATGGCACAAGAGGCTGGATCTCCTGACAGAACTGTCAATGGAAGTGAACCGGGGAGATCAGCTGGGCTCCGGTTCCTGTCTCTGGGCTTCCCTAGCCCAGCAGACAGAGCCAAGGGGTAAGAAGTGAGGTAGCCCAAGGCAATGAGAGAGAAAGAGAAAAACAAAGGGCAGCATAAACTGATTTTTGCATAATCATGAGTTAATTACTCTCTGTCCCCTGAGGGGTCAGCTTTCCGCAGATGCTCAGGCTAACAGAAAAGTCATTCTGCCTCCTCCACTGTCCCCATGGATGGCCTCAGTTGCCAGCTTCTCATTTTCCTTCAAAGTAGCGAGAAAAGGGGAATTCCCAAAGAATGTAAACGAGGTTTTCTGTGCAATTGATTCACTCCACAGAGACATGGCAAATACCCAGCTGATTAAAGCCGAGCGGGGTCCCCTGAACTATTCCACCACTGGTGTCACCCCAGGAGTCGGAGGCTGGCTGAGGGGCTCCTCAAACAGTGAGCGCCACAGAATGCTCCTTGTCTTCCACCCTGAGAACAATGTGTGAACTATAATCCTGCTCAGAAAACACTTTTAAATGGGAAAGACAGCTCATTTTTCAAAAATACGTTTTTATTGATTTTTTTAGAGAGAGAGGAAGGGAGAGATAGAAACATGGATGTGAGAGCAAAACTTCAATCAATTGCCTCCTGCACGCCCCCAACTGGGGAGGGAGCCTACAACCCGGGCATGTGCCCTGACCCGGAACCGAACTAGGACCTCTCAATCCATGGGACACTCAACCACTGAGCCACACCAGCTGGGTCAGCTAGTTATTTTTAACAACTATGCTCCTAAGAAGATAAATGTCGTAACCTAGAGCCACCGACTTAGAACATTCTCAATAAATACCCATTGTTGTGGGAAGGAAAACAAACCAGAAGTAAATTTAGAAAAATACACAGGAATACAGCTATTGAAAATTACTGGTCGGTTTGTATTCTCTACCAATTCTCCAAATCTACAGAAATGTTCCACTTCACTATTCATCTTTATCCCTTTAAAGCAAAGTCTAGAAAAGCTGTCCTCCTCTTCCTTGTGAAAACTAAATCGCTCAGAATGAGGAAACAGAGGGTCTGATGAAATTACTGGTCATGAACAGCACTACATGGGCCTGGGCTCCTTCTTCTGCAAACTGGGGAGCACTCTTGTGAGGACAGATGGGCTGTCAGCAAGGCCACTGGTGCTGCTCTCATCACCCCACCAGGACTGACCAGTGACAGATGCTTAAACCTTGTGAATGAATTAAGGGATCACACCCTACCCTATGGCTGTTCCCTCTATCCTCCCAGGATGCTGGTTCTGGTGGGCCAAAAGTACTATGAGGAAGGACAACAGAAGAAAAAGGACAAAATGCAGACTTGCAAACAAAGTCAATACTTAGGGTCGACGCCCTCCAAACAGATGGACTCAGGCTGGCCACGGGGGGGTGGGGGAGAGTGCTAGTTTCTCCCACTGCTCTGGCCCGGCAGACACAGAGCTGGGCACCTGGAGGGTGCTGGCTTCTCCCACTGCTCTGGCCTGGCAGACACAGGGCCGGGCACCTGGAGGGTGCTGGCTTCTCCCACTGCTCTGGCCTGGCAGACACAGGGCTGGGCACCTGGAGGGTGCTGGCTTCTCCCACTGCTCTGGCCTGGCAGACACAGGGCTGGGCACCTGGAGGGTGCTGGCTTCTCCCACTGCTCTGGCCCGGCAGACACAGGGCCGGGCAGGTGCCTGGTGAGACAGGAAGGGGCAGGAGGGCAGGGAGTGGCGGGGGTGGAGGTTTCTGGAATCCAGGAGCTCCCACTTGGGATGTGAGCAGGCTTTCAGGCTCCTTCCTGGGAGTCAGTGCTGACTTCTATTTTGAGGCTACAGAACAGGGCACAAAGAGCTGGAGCAGGAAGCTGGGGGTTTAGGGCTTAGCAGGCACCACAGAAGCGGGCAGAAGAGGATGGAAGTCAAGCAGGGTCTATCAGGGAGTAGATGGCGTGCAACAGGCATGTCCTCTGTGACCTGTGGAACGGGCTGGGGGGCAGTGAGCCCCAAGCTAGATTTTTCTCACAAAAGTATACTGAAAAAAACTGACAGATGATTATCAGCCAGTTTAAAACAGGAAACGTAAAATATTAAGTTGCCCTCCTGATCCAGTGCCCTACTCTCTCCTCCTGTTTAAATACTAAAATTAAAAATAAGGTTTCTATTTTATCAACTCCCAAATAAGAACTGTTTTTAAAAGTTAGTACAAGGGAAAAAAGAAGGAAAGACTTTTTCTCTGCCAACAGAAATCCTTGTAGTTTAAAAAACGGAATTATCAATGAACACCCCCAGAGCACCTGCGCACTGCAGGGAAGCAGCTCTGCACCTGCGCACAGCCAGCCTCGCAGCAGACTGATCACAATGAGAAGAAAGGCCGTGCCTAACACGCAGTCTGGAACAGTCAGAAAATCAAAGCTACACTCCTCAAACTTCTGGTCATTAGTCTTCTCAGTTTAAAGTTGTCCTCAGAAACTTTAATAACTTAAAAAAAATTTTTTTTTCTTCATTGATTTTAGAGAGAGAGTAAGGGAAGGGAGAGAGAGTTAGAAACATCGATGACAGAACATCAATTGGCCCCTCCTGCATGCCCCCCACTGGGGATCGGGCCCACATCCAGGGCATGTGCCCTGACCGGGGATCGAACCGGCAACCTCTGGGTACATGGGTCAACGCTCAACCACTGAGCCACACCAGCCGGGCAGAAACTTTAATAACTCTTTAACCAAAAACTATTACTTAACTTCTGATTAAAATCAGCTATAAGAAGACATCTAAAAATGTCATAAAACTAAAGAGTAAAACTTATTACTGAGAAAACCTTTCTTCTGGGCTTTAGGAACGGAGATCACCAGTATTTTCCATCTTTTTACAAAATATGTGCCTAAAACACTGTGTGATTACTTTTCTCAAAAATGGAGTAATCTGAGTTTGATCACCTCTGATAAATAAAACCTATGAACAGGATGTAATTTAAAAATAAGGTGAGCCCTGGCCAGTTTGGCCCAGCGGTTGGAGCATCGGCCTGCGGACCAGAGAATCCCCGGTTCAGTTCCCGCTAGGGGCACATACCAAAAAATAATAATAATAATAAGGTTAAAATTTTACACCCTGGATGTCCTGAGAGCACATGGATATGTGTCACTAGGGCGTGAGCAGAAAGTCAAACACAAATGGGTGTTCAATTCTGCACGTGTGGGACTGGACGGCGAACACAGCACTCTCGCCTGCGAGTGAAAGGTACTGGCCGGCGGCCCCCGCGCCCCCAGGAAAACCTGTCCATCCATCGTCTGCCCTTTGGGCCTTGAGTTCCTCCGAGGAATGAAATCAAGTCGGCTTGCCCTTAGCTGACAAAAAGGCTTAAAATATTTGTCAGAGCTTCAGATTTTCAAAACCCAAATACAGTTTCCAAAACCAAAGCAGCAGCTGAATAAACCTTCAACTTGAGCCACTTGAAAAGCCGGCCGTTCTCAGGTTCCCAGGACCGCTCTCCTACCCCAGTGACAGCTCCGGCGGCGGGCTCCACAGCCCTGGCCTAGGAAGGGCGCCCTCCTCCGAGGCGTGCTGTGCTAAGAGCCAGAATCCTGGAGAGCACAGGGTACCCTAGAGGGGACAGAAGCTCCACTCTGAGGGCGGAAGGACATGGTGTTCCCAGGGGAAACTGAGGCTGCAGGAGAGAATAACGGTCTAGAACGGGCAGTGAGCTCGGGCACTGGGCAGGCCTTGCAGGCTGCGTTATGAGACCATGTGATGTGGATGTGTTGGTGTCTGGGAATGAAGAGGCCTGGTTCTTAAAATCCTGCAGCAAATAAGCGGAACTCAAGGAAGTCTGCTGTCGTCTACATAACGATTGTTTCATTAATCAGTCCTGAAGAGCCAGAAGCATGGAAGTCTCTTTACTAGAGAGGAAAGATCGTTTCGTTGACGCTAAGGTCCTGAATTTCCCTCAATTGCATGTTATGTTCTCCTGTTCATGTCTGAAGATCCGACGTGACTCTTTCACTCTCATCTACAATAATCCCCCATCGTTATTCTTTCCCTTTCCTGACACTGACACTTTGTCAGAATCCAGGTGAACAATCCTGCAGACATTCCCACAAGCCGGGTCTGAGACCCACCTTAACCATCTCCGGCCAGAGGACCTCCCAGGTCCCCACGGGACATTCCCACTGCATCACGACAGGGGGCGCACATCAGTTTTCAAGCTCAGACTTTAAAAAAAAATTTTTAATTGATTTTTTTAAAAGAGAGAGATAGAAACAGATGTGAAAGAGAAACATCCATCGGCTGCCTCTTAAACTCCCCTACTGGGGATCGAGCCCACCAACCTGGGCATGTGCCCTGACCCAGAATTGAACCTGGACCTCTTGGTCCATGGGACATAGCTCAATCCATGGAGCCACACGGGCCAGGCCAACCTCAGACTTATAAAGCATGGAGGCCATTTCTTCAGCAGATCTATATGTTAAGATAACACTGGCAACCATGTTGGCACCTAGATTCTTTGCCAAATATTTCCAGCAAACTAGACAAAAATGAAAGAATTTGTGTTTTCTCTTTCCCCTTGGATATTTTGACATAATGTTCTTAATCTCCCAATATATCCAGAATAACACAGTGACCACTCTGACTCTGATTATCAGTCCCTGGCTGTCAGCTCATGGTGACATCAGCATCCACTGAAATAATTAGGCTGTAGACGTGCACTAATTTGTGATCCCAAACACACTATGACGAGAAGCTCCACAGTTCACTAAGCTACTAAATGACATGGAAGTAACTACAGGTTTGCCATCACATAACAACACTGGCATAGTCTGCTTTTAGCTACAACCACTAACAAGGCATTATTATTCTTATTCCAAAGGCTATTTTAGAATTCCTGGCCTCACACAGCATCTCACCTGTCTTACAAGGAGCATACAGTGAAGAGGAATCTACTTTCTCTTAAAAGAACACAAATCAGTATAATGATGGGTATTAAAGGAAATAACGCTCTCCCAAATGTGACTCTGTGACTGAAAAAAAGGTGCATTTATGCTTACCTCATGGCATAGTACATAAATATACACATATATATATCTACTGAATATGTTAAATAGTAAACATTCTCAAAACAGCAGATACAATAAATTCTAAAACCCTTAAAATAAGTTAGTAAAAAATTCATACCTGAGTAAATATATTATGTGTTTGGCTTAAAATCCACCTGGCATCAGCATCAGGGGCTACTATTAACTTCAAGGTCCCGATGTACACGTCAGAACACAAGGTCCAGAAGTGCTGCTCTTGTAAACTGTAGACCCCTTGTAAATGCTGCACCTGAAACAGAAAGGGCAGGTGAGCATCAGCTCGGGTGTGAGTGCCCCTCCCACTTCGGTGGTGATGCAACAGGTCACGAGACGCAGACTCTCCCCTGCAGGAAACAGGGGGGCTGTCGGAACCCATCAAATACCTGCTGCACACTCACTGTGTGCCAGGCACCCTGACAGGCAGCAAACAGGAATGAACACACACTAAAATCTGTTGGGCATGGGAAATGTACATTTGCAAATACATCAGTCAAAGAAGAAACATGAACACAAGTGAGCTAAGAAACTAAGAAAACTTGCCCTGGCCAGTTTGGCTCAGCGGTTAGAGCGTTGGCCTGCGGTCCGGAGAGACCCGGGTTCGGTTCCTGCTAAGGGCACGTACCTTGGTTGCAGTTTGTCCCAGGCCCTGGTTGGTCGTGCGGGTGGCAGCCACTCGATGTGTCCCTTTCACATCAATGTTTCCCTCTCTCTCTCTTCCTCTCTCTCCCTCCCACTCTATCTGTACAAAAAATGGAAAAATGTCTTCGGGTGAGGATAAAAAAAAAAAAGAAACTAAGAAAACAACAAAGTGAATTCAAAGAAATAAGAAGAAAATAAAGGACACAAATCAATAATCCAGAGTTAAAAATTGAGAGAATTCATAGGACAAAAAGAACAGTTCTTTGAAAAGACAAATGAGCTGGAGTTGGTATTGTTTTCATTTTTTGTTGTTGTTTTTTAATTTTATTTATTGACTTTTTAGAGAAAGAGAGAAAGGGAAAGGACAGAGAGTGAGTGAGAGAGGGAGAGAGAAACATTGATCTGTTGCTCCACTTTTTCATGCATTCATTGGTTGATTCTTGTATGTCCCCTAACCGGGGATCAAACCTGCACCCTTGGCATATTGCGACGACACAACCAACTGAGCTACCCAGCCAGGGCTGAGAGTCAGTGTTTCTTAATGGGGCATATTTTGGACAGGTCAGCACTGTGAAGTCGGGGTTATTATAAGAGCCCATTAAACAGCCTCTGTCTCCAGCCTCGTACCTCTTCCATGAGCCCGAGTGAGAGCCTGTGGTCTAGGTCAGCTGCCCTCCTCTGCCCCAGATCCTCCAGTGCTTCCCATCTCACTGGGTGAAACCAGCACTAGCAGTAACCTGCACCACGCGCCGCCTTGCTCCTCTTCCTCATGGGCCCAGACTCCTCGCCACTCTGAGAGGTCAGGCACACTTCTGTCTCGGGGATTTGCTCTTCCCGCTGCCTGGGACAACCTTCCTTCCAGCTCTCTGCATGGGCCACTCTGGGTCTTTACTCAAAGGGCATCTTCTCAGTAAGCCCACTTGCTGCTGCCCTATCTAAAATGAGAACGTTTCCATGTTTAGATTTCTCTGCCTTGTTTTACTTTTGGGCACATACTATCACACAGCACAATATTTATTCATCTTCTTTATATTGCATATTATCTGTCCCCTCTGGCAGATACAAGCTCCATAAAGGCAAGGATTTACCTTTGGTTTTATCCTTCTCACCTAAAATGGTGCCTGCCCAAGTAGTGCTCAGTAAATATACATGTAAATACATGTAAATGAATATAAGCTCAAGCAGAACGGATGCTACAACTGGAACGACACAGACATGAGCACAGTCCTTACACAAGGGCCACAAGCCAACCTGTGAAGCGTTCCATGTTCTGTGTAACTGTTTTACAACATACATGTACATTAAAACTTCACATGCCCCGCTCAGGTGGCTGGGTTGGTTGGGTGTCGTCCCACACACCAAAGGTTTCAGGTTTGATTTCCGGTCAGGACACACATCTACGTTGTGTATTTGGTCCCAGGTCGGGGCGCCTATGGGAGGCAATGACAGATGTCTCTCTCTCTCTCTTTCTCCCTTCCTCTCTCTAAAATCAATAAAAACATAATCTCAGGTGAGGATTAAATAAGCAAACAAAAAAAAATCACACTGTACACCTTTAAACATATACAATTTTCATTTGTCATTTTTACCTTACCAAAGCTGGAAAAAAAATTAAAAATCAAATAGGAGAAAACAAAAAAACAACAACAAACACCCTACTATTTGAAAACTTAGACAAAGTGGATGCATTTCTAGATACACAGAAAATGCCATAAAACAACAACAAAAAAAGAAAATGTGCAAGGATCACTAAAAATGGAAAAGGAAATAAAAGTTCCCTTCATAAAGCCCAGTCCCAGAGGCCAAACTTTCAAGGATCATATGACCTCTTAGTTTTTTTCAGAAAATAGGAAAGATTTTATTAGTGAGAAACAGCCCATTCAATACATAGCCCTCATATTAGTAAGAAACAATCTTGACCCGTAGCCAGATAAAGACGGTAAATCATGAGCTGATTTATCTTATAAATTAAATAAGTGAAATCCAATGGTATATTAAAAAATAACATATCATGACTAAGCTGAGTTTATCCAAAAGGGGAAGAATAAACACCAGAAGCTCGATTACTATTTTTCTTCAATAATGATGCAAAGGGTAAAAATCACAGTCATTTCAATAAAAGCGTTACAATTATTTAATAAAACTCGATACCTATTTATGACTAGGGAGAAATGATGAGAAGGACATGTCCTTGATAAGAGCTATCTACCAAAATGCACAGAGAATATTTAAAGAAACCTTAGCTGTATTCCTTTGAAGATCAGGAGAAAAGGCCAAAAGACTCGAATCACTACAGTGTTCAGTATCTCAGGGTAGAGTTGGAGGGAGCGGACTAAGATCAATGCCCAGAAGTTACAGGAGAGGCTCAGTGTGAACCGATCTTAGCAACACTCCAGCAGTCTACGTGGGAAGAGACTGCTCCGTAAGGGCTAACTGTGGTTCCGGATATGGCACAGAGCCGGATGATCAAATGAAGGTCACAGAGGAGGTTCTTGCCACCAGACAGAAGTCTAGACCAAACAAACCGGAAGATCTTTTTGGATTCTGAGATTCTCTAATTGTTAAGCAGAGAATCTGCTATAATTTTCTATAAACTCGTAGAAAGCTGGTGGGAAATCTGAGACAATACCCACTGTGCCCTTTCTAAAACCTGCTCTTCCTGGGGGAAGAGATCAAGGTGGACTCTCCCTTCCTCTACTGGGTCTCTGACGACAGCGCTGGAGCCTCAGTCCTCCCCACTTTTCCCCGTGACATCGACAGAAATCGACACTGCTGGTGAAACACACGGCCTCCGCAGAAATGGGAGGGCAGGGGCATTCGTGCAGTGATCCCCAGCACAGGATAAGGACTGCTTCCGATGGAAACAGGCTTTCATTCTCCTAAATTACAGCACATGGGGAAGGTGTAGCTGCAGATGAAAATGCATTGCTGCCCCCACTCTGACACATGGTGGACGAGAAAGGCACCAGCTTTAGAGTGAGTGACATGGGTCAGAGTCCAGACTCAGCCACCAGCATTTGCAACCTTGGATGAGCTGCTGAGATTCCCTGAGCCTCCAGCTCACTCTGCATGATTACTGGTAAGAACAGAAACGCTCTATGTAAATCACTTCCCACTGGGCCAGCTCCCAGCAGGCATTTAATATGTGGCCCTTTCTCTTCCACACCACGCCGGAATTCACACGAAATGAGGGGAATGTAAAGCTCGTGCGCGCCACACTTCACGTGCTCGCTCAGCAGCCATGGGTGTGCAGTGACTACCCCATTAGAGCACTTCCACTCTCGGGGACAGTCCACGGGATAGCGCTGTTCTAAAATCAAGCACCCCCATGCCCGCTGGTGTGGCTCAATGGCTGAGCGTCGACCCACGCACCAAGAGGTCTCAGGTTCGACTCCTGGTCAGGGCACGTGCCCAGGTTGTGGGACTGATCCCGAGTGTGGGGCATGCAGGAGGCGGCCAATCGATGTTCTCTCTCATCGATGTTTCTATCTCTCTCCCCCTCTAAAATCAATAAAGGAAAAAAAGAACAAGCACCCTCTCCCCGATACTGCATCCAAGCCAAGCTATCATTTCTTTGTTCCCTCTGACAACACCACTTCTTCAGAGATGTCTGTAGTTCCCCAATTCACTTTCTCAATCCACTCAAACCACGACCTCTCCAACTCTACTGAAGCCATGGTTATCAAGGTCATGTTCATAATGCCAACTGGTGATCACGTCTGTTCCTGCCGCACTCACCTTGCCGAGATTTGTGGCTGACTTCTTCCTCCTTCTGGGCGGTCTCCAGCTCCCTAACCACCCCACACCCTTTCCTGGCTACCCTACCTGAGCTCTAACCTGAGTTGAAAGTAGAGCTAAAAGAGCAGAGCTTAGTTCTCCCAAGGGAATCTCATACAAGCCTAATGTTTCAAATGCATTTATAGATTTGATGACTCAAAACTCCTTCTAGTCCTAACTGTCCCCAAAATGCCCAAGTTGCCTATCCGCCTACTTAACTGACATTTCCCCTAGAATTAAAGGCGGCACTTCAGTCTTAAATCCACAATAGAACTATTAATTGGGGGGATTTTTTCCATCCTCAAACCTGCATCAACACAGCTCCAATCTGAACCAGTGGTCCCGCCCGCCAGGTACCTCGGTGTGAGTTGACACCTTTTCTAACTAATATAACCCACTAATATAACCCATATCCAAAAACATATCCAAAAAGTCTCCTAATCCCCATCTTCACTGTGACCGCTGATGCCCAAACCATGCTCTGTCCACTCAGATGAATGAGTGTTTTCTTTGCGCTCATTCTCCCTAGAATTCATGCTCTAATAGAAAACTTTTTGAAATCTGATGACGCATCTCCTGTCTAAAAGTTTTCTGGTGCTCCCCATTTAATCAACACTAAATCTAAATCTCTCAGCAAGACCCAAACCTCTGTGATCTGGCCTCTGCCTTTCTCTCCAAACTTTCTGACCATTCTTCCCGTTATTCATTATGCCTCAGCCACGTGGCCTTTTTTTCTGTTCTCCAAATACACTATGTTGGTTCCATCCACAGAACTTCTGCATCACCACTTTCCTCTGTCTAGAACCCTTTTCCCCACGATTTTCTGTCTGGCCCTGTCTTGCCATCACAAGTTCCACGTCTTTGACTATGACTCCCTCAGTGAATCTGAGGTAGAGCGTGTCTATCCCTTTGCTCTGTTTCTATGACAGTGACTGGCTGGTACTTAGTCAGTGCTTTCTTGTCTTGTGCCTGGGCTTCCCCACTAGGCACAGCCCTCTGGAACAGATGCTGGTCATTATCCCAGGACCTCGGAAGACTATCTGGCAAGTGGGAGCTCAAAAATATATATATTTAATACATGCTTCTATCATCTATTTGTATCTTATTCCAAAACAACTGCTCCATTTTCTAGACAAGGCCAACTTCGCCCACATTTTCTTCAGCGAAGTTCCCTATTTGCCGATGAGTCTGGTTCTGGTTTGCATGAAGGGCGCTCACGGTGAGCGCCCAGGAGGGGACTCACCCTCTGGTAGCACTGCGGCAGGCTGGCCTCCAGCAGCGGCGGCGTCCTCTGCATCAGTATGCCGACCGACTCGCGTAACAGAGGAATGACACTGAGGAGAAAAGGAAGACGGCAAGTTGATTAAAGCCACGTCTCACAACCCTGTCCTGCAAGAAAGGAACAACACACCTCCCTAGAGGTGAATACTGTCAGATAAATCAGAGAATACGCGGAGAAAAAATCTAGTCAGTGTTCCAGATTTTTCAGGTAATCAATAAGTTATTATCTAAAATAAAAGTAAAAGAGTTAGATCAATGTATCGATGTATAAAACACTAAACCTACACTACTGCATAGTATTGGAGCGTCTGAAAGTCTAAACACAGCAATCGGTCAACCGTTACTTAAAACAGACTTCAGCCCTGGCCGGTTTGGCTCAGTGGTAGAGTGTCGCCCGTGGACCAATGAGTCGTGGGTTCAATTCTGGCCAAGGGCATGCACCTTAGCTATAATTCGTCACCGGCCCTGGTTGAAGTCATGTGGGAGGCAACCAGCTGATGTGTCCCTTTCACGTCGATGTTTCTCCCTCTCTCCCTTTCTCTCCCTCCCTCCCACTCTTTCTGCAGATAAACAGAAAAATATCCTTGGGTGATGATTAAAAAAATAAAATAAAATAAGACTTCAGCCTGGCCGGTGTGGCTCAGTGGACTGAGAGGTCCCAGTTTGATTTCCAGGCAGGGCACATGCCTGGGTTGCAGGCTCGATCCCCAGTAGGGGGCGTGCAGGAGGCAGCCAATCAATGTTTCTCTCTCACATCATTTATTTCTATGTCTCTCTTCCTTCTTCTCTCTAAAAAATCAATAAAAACATATTAAAAATAATAATAATAAATTAAATTAAATAGACTTCAGATGGCCAGAATCTTCCAAGGTAATCCATCAAGTCTATCATGACCAACTGGACCTGAACATTTATCAAATTATTTCACACATGATCTGAGTGGTACTGTTAAGAAAAATATAAAAAATGTTTATACAGTATATATTACTCCAGTTGTTCAATATTTTCCCAACCCGATTATAGGTTTCATTATTTAAAAAACAGAGAAGCCTGGATATAACTGCAGAGCTGGTTAACTGGCACCTCTGGTGACAGGCATTGATACAGCTGGTCCTCACCAGTACTGAAATGACTGCTTTAGGCTGTTTAGATGATTAAACATACACAAGTAACGGTGTATGGAGAGGGTGACTACTGCCAGGGCTTTTGAAACTAGCTACACACCAGGTTCCCGTCAGAGCCTGATTTATGCAGGATTTCTTTCAAACTTTTACGTGTGTTTTCTGTATGTGTTGCCTCTCAAAGTCTGCTACTAGTTCTTCCCTTTACCCGAAAACTCACTTTCCCACGTGGCCCTTAGTAAGAGGACTCCGGTATCAGCGTAGACGTCCCATGATCACAGAGAACACACTATTAGAGCTACAGGGAATTTGGAGATCATTCATGTTTACACTCAATTCAAGAACCATAATGCAGAAAAACTTTTTTTTGTTAATTTTTTATCCTCATCCGAGGACATTTTTCCATTTTTTATTCAGATAGAGTGGGAGGGAAGGAGAGAGAGAAACATCGATGTGAAAGGGACACATCGAGTGGCCGCCACCCGCACAACCCAAGTAGAGCCGGGGACAAACTGCAACCGAGGTACATGCCCCCAGCAGGAACCGAACTCGGGTCTCTCGGGACCGCAGACCGACGCTCTAACCGCTGAGCCAAACCGGCCAGGGCCAGAAAAACTTTTTAAACAAGTTAATGTTAAAAGCAAACATTTATTTTTAACAAACTAAATAAAAGATATCATAACCAGTTTAAGACATTAATAGAGCCCTGGCGGGTTTGGCTCTGTGGTAGAGCATCAGCCCACAGACCAAAGAGACTCGGGTCCGATTCTGGTCAAGGAGTTGTGGCTTGTCCCGGGCCCTGGTCAGGGTCATGCAGGAGGCAGCTAGTCGATGTTTCCCTCTCACATCAATGTTTCACCCTCTCTCCCTTTCTTCCCCTCCCACTCTATCTAAAGATAAATAGAAAAATATCCACATGTGACGATTAAAAAAAAGAAAGAAATAATAATACACAGTGTTCAGTACTTTTTCAGTAAGGATCCACTGAGGTTCTTTTTTTTACAGATAGAGCAAGAGGGAGAGAGGGAGGAAAAGAGAGAGAAACATCAATGTGAGAGAGACACATCGACTAGCTGCCACCCACCAGATCCCAACCGGGGCCGGGGACAAACGGCAACCAAGGTACATGCCCTTAACAGAAACCGAACCCAGGACTCTACAGTCTGCGGGCCGATGCTCTAACCCAGTGGTTCTCAACATTCCTAATGCCCTGACCCGTTACTACAGTTCCTCATATTGTGGTGACCCCCCCAGCCATAAAATTATGTTCATTGCTACTTCATAACTGTAATTTTTCTACTGTTATGAATCGTAACGTAAATATCTGATATGCAGGATGTATTTTCATTGTTACAAATTGAACAGAATTAAAGTATAGTGAATAATCACAAAAACAATATGTATTTATATATTGTGAAATATTTATTTCTAATTACAAATAAATGAAATTTTGTCTTGAAGGCTGGTGTAGCATGGGTAAGTCATTTTTTAAATTTTTAATATATTAATTTGTTTTTGTTACAGATGTTTCTCATTCCCCTCCCCTCCCCACCCCATTTCCAGCTTTGTTGTCTATGTTCATTGGTCATATATACATGCATGTAAGTTCTGTGGTTTATCCTTCCCCCACAAATCTCCCCTCCTCTGAGGCTTGTCAGCCTGTACTCCAACTCCATGTCTCTAGGTTAATTTTGTTCAGCAGTTTGTTTAGTTTATTATATTCCACAAATAAGTGAGATCATGTGATATTTGTCTTTCTCTGCTTGGCTTGTTTCGCTTAGCATAATACTCTCCAGGTACTGCCATGCCATCTCAAAGGACAAGAGATCTTTCTTTCTTATAGCTGCATAGTATTCCATTGTATACATGTACCACAGCTTTTTAATCCTTTCATCTACTGATGGACACTTGGGCTGTTTCCAGATCTTAGCTAATGTAAATAGTGCTGCTATGAACATGGGGGTGCATATATTCTTTCCGATTGGTGTTTCGGGCTTCTTAGGGTATATCCCTAGAAGTGGGATCACTGGGCCAGATGGCAGTTCAATTTTTAACTTTTTGAGGTAACACCAGTTTCCCATAGTGGCTGCACCAGTCTGCATTCCCACCAGCAGTGTACTAGAGTCCCCTTTTCTCCATACCTTCGCCAATACTTGTTGTTTGATGATTTGTTGATGGCAGCCATTCTGACAGGTGTGAAGTGATATCTCACAGTTGTTTTAATTTGCAACACTCTGATGATTAGTGATATTGAGCATTTCTTCATATGTCTCTTGGCCATTTGATGTCCTTTTTGGAGAGGTGTCTATTTAGGTCCTCTGCCCATTTTTTAATCGAGCTGTCTTCCTTTTGTTGAGTTGTATGAGCACTCTATATATTTTGGAAATTAACCCCTTATCTGATGCATCATTGGCGATTATGGTCTCCCATATAGTGGGATCCCTTTCCGTTTTGATGGTTGTTTCTTTTGCTGTGCAGAAGCTTTTTAGTTTGATGTGGTCCCATGTGTTCATTTTTTCCTTTGTTTCTGTTGCCTTAGGTGTTGTATCAGTGAAAATTCTGCTGCGCATGATGTCTTAGATTTTGTTGCCTACATTTTCTTCTAGAATTTTTATGGATTCACGAGTTACATTTAAGTCTTTTATCCATTTTGAGTTTATTCTCGTGCATGGTGTAAGTTGATGTTCTATCTTCATATTTTTGCATGTAGCTGTCCAATTTTCCCAACACCATTTATTAAAGAGACTGTCTTTACTCCACTGTATGCTCTTGCCACCTTTGTCAAATATTGAGTATATGGTCTTGATTCAATTTCTGGGTTCTCTATTCTGTTCCATTGATCTATCTGCCTGTTCTTGTACCAGTACCAGGCTGTTTTGATTACAATGGCTTTGTAGTATAACCTGAGATCTGGTAATGTGATCCCTCCAACTTTGTTCTTCTTTTTCAAGATTGCTGTGGCTATTCGGGTTTTTTTTTTTTTTTTGGTTCCATATAAACTTTTGGAGTGTTTGTTCTAGTTCTGTGAAGTATGTTGTTGGTATTTTGATGGGGATTGCATTGACTCTATAGATTGCTTTCGGTAGTATTAACATTTTAATAATGTTAATTCTTCCAATTCATGAACAAGGTATATGCTTCCACTTTTTTATATCTTCCTCTATTTCTTTTTCCAATGACCTGTAGTTTTCTGTGAAGAGGTCCTTTACTTCTTTGGTTAAGTTTGGGTAACAGTCTTAATTTAACAACAGTAAACTACATTGCTTTACTTTGCAACAGTACACGTAAAAAGCCAACGTCAGTGCAAAGGTTGAGATTGCTTCTTTCTCACCAGACCAGGAATTCTCAGGGCAGAATGCAAGAGCACAATGCAGATCATCTTCCACAAGTCTACTTCTGTATTTAGACTTGATAACCAACAAGCTGGAAAACCCTGTTTCACAAAGATATGCTGTAGAAAATGGAAGAAGAAGGCGCAACACAGTCTCAGACAGAACAGGATATGACTGCAAACACTTGATCCAGAATTTTGTAACTGGCACTGTAGAGAAATCAGTTCTCACTGCATCAATGAACTCTTGTGCTGTCTCAGAAACATCTTCAACTTTGACTATGAATGGGCTTCTGGCAAGTGCAAATAGTATGTCAGGTAGATTTGGAAAGTACGATGAAATTTCATCTGCAAGCATGTGCAAGTGTTCTTTCACAGAAACTATCATCGTAATCCTTTTGCCTGGTTCAATGTCACATTCCTCAAAAAAAAGCAGATAAAGTAGGCAACATGTAAATTTTATTTTCATTCAATTTTTTTTTTTTTTTTTTTGCCAAAGCTGAAGTTTTATTAGGAATAATCGAATCTTTTCAGACAAATCAAGGCATGTTGCATTTGGTCCTTGCAGTGATAAATTTAACTCATTCAAGATGGCAAAGAT